TCTGACTCTTAATAAATCGCTTATAAATCGCCCGCAAGTATCTCAAACGTTTTCGACACGCGTATTTCTTGTTCCCTTGCTGCCTTTTTTTTCTTCATGGAGGTATCTTTTTTATTCGCATAATTCTGTGCGCATTTTTAAGGCATTCATCATAAAGTTTGGCCGGTGTTTTAGGAGGGCCAAAACTCGAGAAAACCGAAATGCTTTTGTCTTTTCGTCAACATGTCACAGCCACTAAACATCAATAAGTTGGGCTTTTATTGATTTCGTGTTTTATTCGCCGTGCTGTGTGTTTTTACAGCTCATCTTTGTGCAGACTTTTTAGGGGGATTTCGAGTTTGATTTCTTATTTTTTATTGAGCATTGGCCACAATTAATTACTATACACAAAATATATAATATTTTCATATTTCAGTTTCGAGGGGCTCTCATGCAAATTGGCTTTCGGCTATTGTATTTCGGTGTTTCTGTATCTCCCTTACTTTTTTTTTTTTTTTTTTGTGGGCCAATAAATCACATTCGAAGCTGTATTTTTTTTATTTAGGTTTTGTTTTTTTTTTTGTGGGCCACCGCCAAAGTTCTAGCCGATAATTTATTTGGGTGACTTTGAATGATTTTAGCGGTGTCTTTCAAACGCCCGAAAGAGCATTTCGGATCGATACTGAAACTAGTTTCGCTTCCCTAAAACTAATCACTTTGGCTACTGTTCGCCGATGCCATCGATAAGCCCGATTTCGAAAGCTCTATTGGCCAATTTGCAATTGTCAAACAATTAAATACCAATATATTCAAGAGAGATAAAACAGGAACACTAAGGAAAATAATATTAGGTTTTGTTGAAATTTGGTAAATATTTATAGAAAATATGGGAACTATTTTTCTTATTTAGTACATTTTCAATGCAGTCCCAAAATTTAAGAAAAGTTGAAAAATATTTTAAACTCACTATATTTATCTTTAGAAAGTAAATTTCCTTTATATATGTTGTGAGTTTTTAAATTTAAGAACCATATAAATTCTACCACTATTTATATACAAATTCTTTTTATAAACCTGCATTTAAAATATTCATAATATATATTTAGCAATAAAATTTTACCTCAACATTTTTTCTGACTTTCTTACTGCTTTCAATAAATATTTTGCAATATTTTTATCATAATCAAAATATATTTTAACATTTGTTAAACATTTTTCTTTATATTTCCCAACATTTTACCAGTTTTTCTTCACGTTTTTAATTACTTTTCTCTTAGTGCAGAGAATCTAGACAGAGAACATTTATTTTAGCAAACGATGAAAGTTGTGTGGAATTTTAGCTAAAAATCAAATCGATTGGTTTGTCGTTAGAAATAGTTGAAGGGGGATGGGTTGCTAGAGGTCTTGCCCCTGTAAATTTTAGGGGCGGTTTTGGGTATGGGTTTTTTTTTTTTTTTTGGGTGCTGCCAGCCGACAGGAGCTGGAATGATTTGTGGCATTTTACAATTTTATTTGCTGCCCCGAAACCCCCGAACCCCGAGCATCATTTGTAAGCCAACTAAGCGTCCTTTAAGGACTATTTTGTGGATGCACTCGAACGAACAATGGAGGACACTCGACTCGCCTTCTTTTGTGCGGTTTTCGGGGCTCACTCTCTCCCTGTGCCTCTTCATACGATTTTCGTTTGAAGAGGAAAATAGTATATACGGAAAAGCAGGGGACTTTTCGCATTTACCTGCTAAAAATGCTGCTGGGATTTTGACACGTTTCAGATACATATATATATGTATATGTATATTCCCCTGGAGAGTCGAGGGATCGACGTCCGCATGCGCAACGCAACCCAAAACTGACCAGAAACTCGGGTCCTCTTCGGATCCTTTGTCTATTTTTAAGTATATATGTATGTTTGCGAGGCCCAAAACAAAGGTGTGATATTTGTTTCTCTTTTGTTCCTGATCAGGGCAATTGGCTCAAGTCAAGATGCATTTTCTGCCTTTCCCATTGTTTTTCCACCGCCAGCTAGGCGTAGACTTCTTGTCAGCGTTGACAATTAGCCAAAAAGCCATAGAAGATAGTGGTCACAGGACATAGGGACTCTTGAAAATGCCTCCTTTTTTGTTTTTTGTTTGTGAATCCAATTATGAGGGGCTTGCTGAAAAATCTGCTGACCGTTGGTCAAAGCAGCTGGTTTTCCCACCTTTCTTATATTTCCTTTTTGGCATTTGGAAAATCTTTGCAACCGGCACGCGCTTCTCTTCTTGTATTTCTTGTGTGTGGGATTAGGTGACACAATGGAGTTAGGCGTCTAATCTACAAAAGGTGTTTTGTTAGCCACTCGAAGCTAATAAGTAGATGGGTAGATATGGAAAGAGTCACTCGGACATGTATCTTAAAGATGTATCTTCAAGAGGTTATTGTTGTGAGAAATATGTATCTAAAGGCAGATTCTGTAGGTTATCTAGATAAATTCTTTATAAATATATCAAATAATGCAGTTAAAGGCTTAATTAAATTAAGTTCCCAAGAGATATGACTATTAAGAATAATTTAATTAAAAATCTATGTAAGGAAGTAGATTTCCACTACAATTTCTCATCCTTCAAAATTCCTAATATTTTTTTAAAAACCTCTTACATATCTTAAAGCTAAATAAACAGTTTTTTATTTTAAATTTTAAACTCACCAATCACGGAAAACATTTTCAGCCCCTCGAAGAAGGCGTCAATGACTTCTTAAAACACAAAAAAAAGACTCTGTAATATTTATGGGAGGTTTAGTTTTTACCAATCTTTCAATTTTCTTGTGAATTATTAATGAAAAATCAGTTATTGAAATATGTATATATGTTTTTTATAGCTGCTTTGCAGGCATTCGACATTTAAACGCTTAAATATTTATGCCTTTTTTATATCTCTTTCTCCGACTGACTACCTAAGAGCAGGGAGAAAAAAGATCCATACATTGTTGAATATTCATAAGCCAGCAGCGCCTAGTGGCGTCATTTTCGGATTTGGATTGGGATTCGGATAATATAGGCGGGACGGGGGATTGAGGCTGGGGTCCGGCCAACATCTGGGGCGGGTCAAGATCGATGATGTCAAGGGAAAAAGGTCGATCGGTCCGTGGAGAATCCCCCTCTTATTTTTTTTTTTTACTGTTGACATTTGATTTCTGGGCTTATCGCATTCTCAAGTTGTAATCCGCGGCGCTGTTCCTCAAAAGCCCAACCCCCGCTGTTCGGTTATCGTAAGAAGTTCTACCTTTAAATTCATAAGCCGATGCGATTAAATATATAACGCAGAGCAATAAGCGTCAGCACCTTGTCCAATTTGCTATGGTAATGAAAATTATATTCGTCGAACAAAGCCATGGCAAATCGATCATCGGCGAGCATAAATCATGATCGATTCTCTGCACACTCATGCCAAATATAACTTACGATCTTACGGCTATCTCTCAAGTTATCTCAAGAAATCCTGTGGGTGGCTCACACTCGTACACAAACAAAAAGCTATGGCACAGCGGGTGCAAAAATCGATTAAACGTTTTCGAGATAAAACCAAAAAATGTATTTGTTGAATGAACATTGAATTGAGCAACATCATCTAGGCGACACGATCACTGCAATGTCGAGGGGGAAAAAGCCCAGCTGACTATGGAGTTTTTTGGGTTTGGTTGCAGATACATCTGAATATTAGCCTTCATTTCACAGCCAATATTTCAAGATTCCCTAAACAGTGAATGCTCGAAGAGAGGGAAAAGTTTTAGCTAAGAAGTTGATTTTTAAAATATATTTTTGCTTAGTTTTGAACTTTATCTTAATTCCTGTTTGTTTTTAAATTTAAAAGAAAGTTTTAAGAGCGAAGGAAATATTAACAGAGTTAAATTAGAATGTATATTTAATTTGTACTTATTTAATTTAATACAAATACTTATTTAAGATATAAACTTACATAATCTCTATAAGCTTTGACTTTTAAAATTAAAAAGAAAGTCTTTCCAAATTAATGCTTCAATTTTCATTTTCTTTACCGAGTTTTCACTGTATTTTTAAGCCAAAGTGTGGGCTGTGATGTGAGGCGATCGTCATGTTGGTTTTTTTTTTAAGTTTTTCGGTTTTTTGTCTGACTTTTTCAATGCACCCCACTGTGCGATTTGTGTGCTTTTCATATTCACCGCGTTGCGAGTATAAACCATCGAAGGTGGTGGCCTCTGTCGTCTCCGGTGGACTTACTTTTTGGAAACTCATCGTTTTCCAGCCTTTATTAGCGGGATCCCAACGAATTGAATTGGTCTGAGATCGGGAATATGGAGATGTGAACTATTTTGCTCTCGTTTTTTTTTTGTTTTTGTCTTAAGTCGAAGTCACTCTGTATTTCTAATGACCATTCAAGCGCCGCCTGTTGCGTTTTGCTGACCCGCAGCGGTCGGGTTAAGCAACCCGAAAGGAAAACAATACTCTTTTATGGGTCACTCTGGGGTCTGTCTTACATGTGCAGCAATTACAGAGGAAGGAAAGTATCTGTACATAGTGATGTCAGTTTCATTACAAAGTACAGAATCAGCCATTAAACTTTGTGTAAATATAGTGTTTTTTATTATGACATGATTGACATTTATTAAACGAGTTATAGGGCTTTATAAATGCGATATTAGGCAGCCTTAGTAAGTGTAATTGTGAACATTGAATGCATATTACATACTTTAGAGGGGGTCAAGAGGGGTACACTTATTTTTCAATTAAATATGAGCTCATCTAGGCTTTTATATTTATATAAAGAAAATGCATAATGCCTTTAACAGGCCTTAGGATAATTTTAAATAATTTTATATTAAAAACTGATGGACAGAAATTTAATTTATAATAGAAAAAACTATGTATTGATATCATATAGTTTTTATTTCAAGGAAATAAAGCCATATTTCTTTAATGAAAAACCTTTTAAAGATTTTCCCTCATTAATTAATTTAATTTTCCCAAATTATACATCAATATTAAACATTCTTTGATAACTCACCTTCATTTTAAGTGCCTCCACAATTTTGGCGGTTTTTAATCCAAGTCTTTTGCACAAAATTCTTCTCTCGCCAGCTTTAGCTTTGGGTTCAAGCCAAACCTTAGCCAGATTACAGATGTCAAGATGTTTTATTTATATAGATATAGAGCTTTATTTTGGTATCTCAATGGGTCAAGCGTCGTCCCATTGTTGTGATTATATAATAATTATTATTCGCAAGCTAATAATAACTCGAGATCGAGTTTATCCGAGATGCGGATCAATTCGCAGAGGTCTGCAACATTTTCGTTTGCTTAGGCAATTAGCACATTCGATAACAGTTCACTTCAGTTCCGACGGCAAAAAGGTTAGCAATGCTGCCTCTCCTGCTATATATTACGGATATTATTCGATGCCACACACGTTACACGTTACACGTACGGAGATTTCACGATGTTCTCCCCTCTCCGGTAGAGTTGGAGATGTCTGGAGCGGAGCGTAGCGGACGCGAGATGTTGTTACAGCTTCGAGGCCACTGCGCAAACTGCCGGCGCTCGAGGTTCGAGCTCAGGGATCTGGCTGACTGAAGCGATTCATGCCCGGGCCCACCACCACACGCTCACATGCTCACAGGTAAACTAACACAGCACAGCAACTGAAGTGAACCACCACCACCACCAGCAGCAGCAGCAGTAGCTAGCATCCCGTCCAGACTCAACTCGACCGAAAACCCGCTCAACTGGTTTCTGAGTCGCTCCGCCGTCGCCAGCTGTCGTGCTCGGGAATATGGTGGTGGCTCTCGATTGGCCAACCTAACCACGCCCCTTGTTGCCGGGAGAACGAGTTCCGGACCGGCGTCCCCCATTTTGAGTGCTTTTACCCCGCGACATCCCACTGGAACAACGTTGCTTCTTTTGGCCAATTGAGTGCGCCGGCGCGTGCCAACACGGGCCACTTGTGAGTGGGTGAGTGAGTGGGAATCTTGAGTGTGGAGCGAGTGGAAACCGGCGGAGTCCCAATGGCTGGGTTGTTGCTTACGGTGGTGATGTTGCTGTTGGGTTGCTGCTGGGTTACTCTTCATGTTGCTGTTGCTGTTGCTGCTGTCTTTGCCATTATTGTCTATGTTGCTGCTGTTTTAAGGAATTTCTGGTGATGTTGCTATTAATGTTGATGTTGATTTTACATCTTTATTTTTTTGTTTTTAATGTTGCTGATTTATTTGCAATTTCCACTGATGATACTGCTTATATAAGCTTTTTATGTTGCTGTGTTTATTTTCTGATGTTTTTGTTTTAAGTCTTAATACTGCTGTATTTATTTCTTCATGATATTGTTGCCTGTTTTTATTGATGATATTTTCAACAATATTGCTGCTGCTGTTTTTCATATCTACATTAATTTTGCTGCTTTTGTTGGAGGTTTATCTTATAATGTAGCTACCTTGGTTACTGTTGCTGCCAAGTTTTTTCTGAAATAAAATATCTTGCTAACGCAGAGGATCTACATATATACCCTTGGAGGGTATTAGAATTAGAAAATTGCAATGGCAGTAAATAGTTTTCGAATTTAATTGCAAGTTCCAAGGACTTATTTTCAGTGTATCTGTTAATTTTCTTGTGATGTTGATGCTGTTTCTAAAGCTGTTGCTGCTGCTGCTGCTACACTCGTCAGATGTTGCTTGGCAATGTTTTTGTTGCCTCTCATGTTGCTGCCATCAAGAATGAATGGAAAATCGAGAGAAAACCGAGGGAAAATGCGGGAAACGGAACTTGCACTCCGCCGCACTTGACTTTTTTGGGGTCAAACCGCTTGTCGAAGGGGAAATGAGTTGCCAGTGGAGTTTCCTCTTTAGTTATTTGTTGATTTTTATTTTGATTTAAAAATGGGCAATGCTAAATTTAAAATTAAACAATTTTTGTATTAAGATTATTATCTAGGACCTTAAATACTTCACTTTTATGATGACAACTTGCTTTTAAATTCCCCCTCAAGTTAGGATCCATCAAAAGTATAAAGTATGTCTGCCTTTGTGCTCCTTATCCTTTGATTTAAGCCTGAGTTTAAGCTCTGTATTTAGCTTACCGCTCTCCATCGGATTTTCCTTTGACTTTTCGCAGCTCGCAGGCACTTTAACCATTACTTTGTGCCATTTTTCATCCAGTGTCTCCTCGGTCGTGGGCTGTCTTTTAAAGCCGCTTGGCATTCAATTGGCATTTGCCTGTCGCCATCACCCAGCGGAGCAGTGGATTTCCCTCACCCACTACCACTGCCCCTGCTTCATTCGCCGTTTTTTTTTTTTTTTTTTTTTTGCTTTGCTCACGTTATTTAAGGATTAACATCATTTTATGCTGCCTCGCAATGCCTTTTTTGCAGGATTAAATGCTGCCGTCTGCTGGCTCTCGTTCTCCTGTCACTGCACTCATCCAAAAACAGCTTTATTTGAATTTAAATTTTTATTTCTATTTAAATATTAAGAAAGTTTGGTTTAAGAAGATCTGTTTTAGAAAATTTATATTTGGAATATTGTAATAAATATTTTTAAAATATAATCTTAACAGAAGAAAACTGCATTTCCTGTAAATTTTGTAGAGTTTCTTAACCTAATATATTATTTACTATTTTAAAAGATATTAACTACTCTCAAAAGATAATTGAGACTCAAACTTATGACTTAAATGAAAGGTATCCTAAATTTTTTCCGTGTTCGCCTTCCACTTCAACACCCCCTTTCCACCCCCATCTCCGCCTCCCTCCTTTCGCTCCTTTGAATTGATTGCATTGCACTTTTTCTCGCTGAAAGTTGTTGTTGCTGCTGTTGCATAGTTTGCTGATGCGCCGCCTCCATTCCATGGCTACAAAGTGATTTTTATGGCTTTCTGTCTGTGTGTGCGTATATGCCCGTGTGTGTGTGTGAATGCAAATGTTTACGTTTGTGTGCGAGAGTGTGTATGGGTGTGTATTTGAGCGCACTTTGATGTTTCCGCATTACAAAGGCGGCACTTTAATAGCGGCGCAATTTATCAAAAGGCAAACCAAAAAGCTCGACAGCAGCTGGTAGCTTTAACACGCATACGCCCCGTGGGGTGCCACAGAAAAATTGAACAAGAAAAACTAGAGAAACTAGGGGTATCAAGGGTCTAATTGATTCACAGAAGAGACTATTAAAAAGTACAATTTTGTTGTATTTTAAAAACGAAAAATTTAAATACATTTTACTTAGCTTCTTTATAAATTATTTCTTAAATAATAGTAATAACCACAAACATACCCCTTTAAAATCCTTAATATAAACCCCCTTTAAAAACATATATTATCCAACAAAAAAAAACCCCTTGACTATTCACCATCTATCAGCACATCGAAGCGCAGCCTTCGTCTTATCCTGGACCACATCTGCTTTTGGGAACCAACCAAGTCCAATCCAGAGGCTCTAAATTGATTAACAGTAGCCTAGCTCTTGGACCTAGGTGGGGAGATGTGAAAGAGATGCTGTCAACGCTTCGGCGTTCCCGGAATGCCTTCCATTTACATGCCATAATTTTTAAATGTCACCCGTTTACAAAGGGCTTGACCATTTGATTTCGGCCGCCAGTTCCAGTTCGGGCCCTCGTCGCGACGAACAGGTTGAACCTACGGTTTCGGGGCAGGTAGTTCTGATCGGGAACCCCAAATGAACTCATCCTTTTCACTTCTCTTCCTCTCTGTCTTTGTTCGATTCCATAGACCAGCGATATTATATTTATTTAGATCTTTATTGAGCTGCAACCTGTCGTAGCCGCAGTCATTTTTGGGTTTCGGGTTTTGGATCTTCCCATTTTGTTGGCAGATTTATGTTCTGGCCTCCATCCAGATATTGATCTAGGCGATACCATCGAAGGGCTGACCAAAAGTAACGTAACTCTCTCTGCATGAGAAGGCACAGTGAAAAAAATAATTCATACTTTTATTATTTAAAAAATTGTATGCTTTGTATGCTTTAAAATTGTTTTTTTTTATTATTATTTCTGGTCTCACTACCTTTGCCTTTGTACCTACCTACGTTTGTATTTTGGTATCCTCTTTACCAGTAATATTTTCTTTAATATTTCTTATAATTCCCAAGTACTTTTTCTAGCATAAAGCTTTTTATAAGAAATCTATGTAAGGAATAAGACGTTTGAAGAGTAATAATTCATAGCTTAAAACTTACTATATAGAGATTTCATAGAATTACTTTACTTACTTTGAGTTTAGAAAGCAAATTAAATATAATTTTCCCACAGTGTCCCTTTCTTTGATCGGTGAAAATTTCAGGGTAATTTGTTGGCTCCGTTTTCAAATTGTTTTTGTTGGCCGGTTGCTTGGGTTTTGAGGACAACGACAGGCTCTTGCCCAAAACTGTTGGTGGCATATTCGATTGTGTGTGCGGCTACCTATTCCGTCGCGCGTGTTATGAAGATGTTAAGAGATCCCCGATGCCCTGGTCAACCCCTGAAATATGTCTTAATTGTCCGGGGTTAGGGCCAGTTATGGAATGGACATAGCCTTTACTCCTACATATAGTTCACCGGCTGTTTGCACAACTCTCCTGTTTGCTCAAGTTTCGTTTAATGGCTGGGTTTTTCCTTTTCTTTTTTGGGGTAACATGTGCCAAAGGACACATCAATTTGTGGTGGTAAACGACTGTCCAATGCGTTCTCATAGTCCATAAATCATTTGCCCAACAACTTGTTCTATTTGGCCAGGAAATACAATTCATGTTTCATATCCAGTGGGAGAAATAAAATCCTATAAACAATAAAGTTGTTCTCTAGGGATTTTTTAAATAATAAAGAGCTTAGAGCTTAGCTGAGAAATTTCCACACTTTAAACAAGAAAGGAAACTAACTTTGGGAAGCCGAAATTTGTATACCCTTGCAGTTTGCCATAAGATCATGGCATCGAATCGAAAAAAGATCATAACTAAGCCAAAAAAGCTTTAAATTATATTCGGAAAGCATTTCTATGTTACTTTTTTCTAAGTTAATAAATCTGTATATTAAATAAATTTTTTCGAGAAATCAAAATTTTTGTTAATTTTCGAAAATTTTAATAATGTAACCCCTTATAAAATTTATAAAAAATTGGATACCTTTTTTTTTTTACGGAGATGGCTATAAAGACTCGCCTGTTGATGCTGATCAAGAATATATATGATTTATAGGGTCGGAAATGGTTACTTCTGCTTATAATAATACCCTTTTAGGGTAAAAAAATGCGAAATACCCCCAAAAAATCAAACTCAATTTAGCAGTTTTTTGTTTTTTCTCCTTATACATTACGTATATATATATATATTTGTAATAACTCTCTAGTGTATATATAAATTAAAATAAATAAATACATTTTTTTGGTTGTGTGGTTTTTGTTTTGGTTTTTTCTTTTTTTTTTAATAATAATTATCATTACCATCGTCATCATTATATATCAATAGAGTTATCCTCGTCGGTAAAAACGCCGCCCTCGTCTCTCAATATTCTTTTGTGTCTTTATCTCATTGCATGCTTGGTTGTTCGAGTTGCTGGTTGCCGTTGTTGTTGTTGTTGTGGTTGTGGTTGTTGTTGTGTTGGAATTACAATGTTTTACCAATTCAACCGAATTATCATGATGCAGTGTAGTAGTAGTGATATTAATCATAATAATAATCATAATAATAATAATAATAGTATATTGTATAACATATGCCGCTTGCTGTGTGGATTCCTGCCTCCATTTGCACATTCCCCAAACTCTACCCCAATTCTCCCCCTTAACTTTCACAACATTCTCTCTCTTTAGTCGTCAACGATTTTTTGTGGTTTATTTTAACAAACAGAGCAACAAACAAAGAAATGCACAACAGGAGCCACATGTTCGATATGCTCCCCAGGATACCATCTCTCTAGATCTCTCTCTCTCTTTCTCTGGCGCGGGACTAGCCAACAAAGCGTTTTCTGTGCTTATCATAATATAATTACTATTTTCTTCGGTATTCTGGAGTTTTGTATCTTCGTAATTGCCGAATCTTGAGCAGTTTTGGTTCACTAACTTACTTGGTACTGTTTTGTGTTATCCGGCTATATAGTATATGTATATGTAATGCTATATGTGAGTTATCAAGTGTTTGCAAGCCAAGTCTCTAGCCGAAAGCTATTTATACTTAAAGGTTAATGTCAATGAAAGGGGGATAATGGAAAGGAGATAATGGAAATGCGAATGATAAATGATCCTAGGCTGACCTACTTACTCGCTATCATGTATATATATACTCGTAGTCGCGTTTCAGATTCTTGTCGTTTTGTAAATTATTGTTATGTACATTTTTAGACATACAGTTCTAGAAGTTCCGAGCGAGTCCTGCCAACACACATGCACACACACACAGAGTTTTCGTTGTACAAAAATCAGGCAAATGAGGCAAAAATAATCCAAAGCTGAAAAGGAAAATAGCGAAATCCAGGCGAAGACAATCATAAGTAATAACGAAAGAAAGGCTTTAACTTTTAACTAATCATGTGGCTTCTCTTTTTATTATATACTTTTCGATTTTCTTTTCTTTTTCTCTGTTTTTTTCACTTGCCTATTATATTATTTAGATGGTACATATACATATGTAGTTTATACGCTAAGCTAATTATTTTGTTTAACAATAAATGTATATAGCTGCTTGACTGCTCCATCCTTCAGTTTCTCTTGGTTTTTATTATCATTATCGTTATTATTATTATTACTTTGCTTATGCTTAACAACGAAATTTTTTAGCTGCAACTTCTTTGCAATTAAGGAACAGAAAAATTATAAGGATATTCTATTTCGAAAGAACATAAACGTAATAAGGAAAATATTTCACAAAATCAAAAATCAAATGTAACAAATTTTCAATAATTAAAATTACAGAAATAATAATTAATAATTGACTCGCTAAATTATAGATTTCAATAAGCAGATTTGGTGGCCTGTGTCGCAGAGAGACTTTCCCGTCGAAGAAGAGCTTTTACACTTGAATTTTGCTGGACAAAATTAGATATAAGACTCGCGCAGCAGCAGCAGTCCGGGTACGAGTCCGGGTCGGGGTCAGTCAGTTGCTGTTGAGTTTCTGTTCTTGGCTTTCGGTTGAGATTTTTAAAATAATTAAAACGTATTCAATTAAACACACCAAAAAGCAAGGCGACTTGGTAATTAGTTGACTTTTTTTCCTCGTTTTTGGTAGCAGCTTTTGGAAATATATTTGAGAATTCCGGGAGATTGGAAGAGTGCAAGTTCAAGTCCGGGTCAAGAGTCCTCAGTCCGTCGTTGTGTGTTTTCATTTATTGCTTCTTCTTCGGCTTCTTCGGTTCTTCGTTTCTTTGTTTCTTTATATTAAAGACTATTTTTGTAATGGCACAAAATATACAGCATTCAATTTACTTCCTTCTTTCTTCCTTTATCCTGTTCTCTCCCTCTCTCTGTCTCTGTAGCGGATCAGTTGTGGTAACTTAACTCTATAGAGGCTATGCTTTGTCGGTTCCCCCTTTCCGTTTCTTACTTAACTCCTCCGGCTCCTTTATAGTTCGGTTTTGGTTCCAGGTGCCACGATTTCTTTTCCTTTCCAGCTACTGCTACCAAAATGCCCGACAACTCTCTGCGGCCAGCACTCGACGAGGTTCCTTGCCTCCAGCCATCCTTTTATCCATTTATCCGTTATCCGTTATCCGTTCATCCGCTCCACTTGCTCTCCTAGTATTATGGTTGTCAACTACTTTATGTTCCACTAGATTAGGTTGCTATTTTTATATTTATCTTAGGTATGCCGTTATGTTTATGTAGTTTTTGTTTTGCTTTTGGGTTTCCTATATATTGGAGTTTTCCGGCTGGCTTTACCGCGGACGCGAACCTTTGTAGTTCGGGTTCGGATGGCGACTGGGATGACGCGCTGGAAGGGGAAGATATACAAAAGTTAATTGCAAGTCGGAAATACATTTTTAAAATATTTATTGGACTCAATATTCTAAAATTATAAATAACAATAATAAAAAAACTAGTTTAAAAATTTAAAAAAATGATTTATAGCTTTGGTTTGGTTTTTAAAAACTTTTTCTTGCTCAAAAAATTATACAAACATCGATAAATATCGATTTATTATGATATATTTATTTCATTACATTAATTTTAAACTCACCTTGTATCATCATTGTGGGATACATGCCGGCCACCTGCGCCATTTGCGGCCGGATATCATTCGACGGCGACCGTCGACTGTTGGGCAAGGCTACCGAGGGCTAAACGAAGGAAACAGACACCGATTATGGTCCACTCAAGCTCAAATGGATCTCAAGGGATACTCACATGCGCAAAGTACGTCTGGCCGTACTTGAAGTATACACCGGCGGACGCCCCATTTGGATTATAGCCGCCAAGGGCGGCCGCAGCGGCCACGCCGCTGAGAACCGCTGCTGTGGCCTGCTGACTGCCAGCGGCTGCGGCAGCGGCAGCAGCGGCGGCACTATGATGCAGCTGGGCTGTGGGAATGTGCGAGCGGGCGCCGCCGCCGCCACCTGGTTGCGGTCCACCATTCGAGCCAGCCGCTGGCCCAGCAGCACCACCAGTTGCACCGGCACCACCGCTACCCAGATAAATGGCGGGCGGTGAGGCAGCATTCAGGGCAGCTCCGGTGGCCTGGTCCAGGACCACATAGCCGCCGGAGTGACTGGTGACCAGGGTTGGCTGTGGAGCAGCGTTGGGCGTGTTGGCGGCACTATTGTTGTTGCTGTTGCTGCCAGCAATACTGTTGGGCGAGTTGTTGCTGCTCTCGTGGCTGCCGCCACCGCCGCCGCCGTTGCCACCATTGGCGCTGGGCGAGTTGCGCTGGGAGACGCTGCGCCGATAGTCCTGATTCTGGCTCATGGACTTCTGGCTCCGGAAGCTGGCGGCTCCGGCATTTAGGCGAATGGGCGGCTTGGTCTCGTAGCTGCCGGGATTTGTCGAGCTCGTCGCATAGCTGGGCGCCGGCGGCGGGGGGCCACTGATGAGCGGCAGCTGGTTGGGCTTGTTCTCCCGCTTGCCACCCATGGCATGGGGAGGCGGTGGCCCGCGATGGTGATAGCTGGTGGTGTTGCCACCGCTAGTGGCTCCACCGGAAGACGAGGAGGCGCCTCCTCCTCCCAGGCTCACGCTGCTGGGTGAGGCACGCGGCGTTGGCTCGTTGTTGGAGTTGAGAAGCGGCGTCTTGGCCCCGGAGGGCATGCCACCCAGGGGAACCGAGTGGTGTCTAGGATTGTAGCCGCCGGGATGATAGGGTTTGCGCACTCCTCCTCCCACTGTCTGTGCTCCCGATGCTCCTCCATTGTTTCGCTTTTCGTAGGGTGAGTAGCCGCCGCCACCGCCGCCGGCCTCGTTGCTGCTCTGGCTCTGGTAGTAGTGCGCCGTGGAGCTGTTACTGTGGTAGCCACCGCCGCCTCCCCCGGCACTGCTGCTGCTGCCACTGCTATTCCCATTGTTGCCGGGATGTGCTGGCGGCGTACTAAACAGCGGTGCCTGTCTTCCCGGAGCCGCTGGCGTACTGGGTGCCGATTGCGAGGTCACCTGATCCATGGCACTCCCACTGGCCGCTGGATAGAAGGGAGCCGCCGTGATCAGTGCGTGATGTGGCCCCGCCTGTGGCGGTGGTGGCGCCTGCTGAACCACCTGAGGAGCTGTGGGTGGACCACCACCGGCTGCTGCTGCTGCTGCCGCCGCCGCTGCCGCCGCATAGGGGAAGATATTCGTTGGGATCAACGCGGTGGCATGTTGGGCTGGCAGCGCGTACACATGTGCCGCTCCCGCCGCACCACTGAGATCCGAGCCAGCCGCTCCTCCACCGTGGGCCAGCGTCAGCGTGGGCACCGCATGATATGTGGTTGTGCTGGCCGCCGGAGCAGCAATCAGCTGGGCGGAACCGGCCGCCCCATGATGCCCACCAGCACCACCACCGCCGCCACCGGCATGGTGGTGGCCCACCGAACTGGGCGGGTAGCTGCTGGGATTGTAGTGAATGGATCCACCGCCGGGCGTACGCTTAACACGTCCTCCATAACCGCTCGAGGAGCTCACCACAGCACCGCCATTGCTCGTCTGCTGCTGCTGCTGCTGATGCTGGTGGTTATTGTGGTGCTGCTGCTGATGCGGCTGGTGGTGCTGTTGTGCTGACACCACCGCTTGAGGACCAGCCGCTGTTCCAGCTCCCGGCGTGTGAGCGTGCGTGTGCTGCACCTGCTGCTGCACTGGGGGCTGGGTGGCCGCCACCATGGGCGCGGCAGCCACCGCCTGCTGGGGCAGATAGTACGAAATGGGGTGGTAATACGGATACGAGTATTGGATCGGATACGGGGCCATGGGCAGCTGCTGGATCTGGGCACCGCCGCCGCCGGGTTCGCTGGAGTAGATGAGCGGCGCCTGGTAGATGGGCCCGCCATTGGGTGCCGCTGCCGTTGCAAACTGGGCCGTCGGATAGGCAGCCGCCGTTGCCATTGGCATCACCGTGGTCGCCGTCGCCGGTCCTCCTGGTCCCGCCTGATAGATGGCCTGCGCCGGTATGAGACCCTCGCGCGGCTGCTGGGCGGGATCGAAGACAGGTATCATGTAGGTGCCGCCGGTTAGCTCGCCGCCAGCCTCCGGCGAGGCGAACAGCGTCTGGGTGGGCGGATGGCTGCTGGTCGTCAGCTGGAAGAGCGGCTGTGAGGCGCCGCCGGCACTGGCCACGCCGGGCTGAGGATAAGCGGCATATACCATGCCCTGCGGCACCGCATAGATGCTGCCATCGGGCTGTAAGGAATAAAGAGTTTGTATCCAATTAAAAACTAGGTGTTTAGCTTAGACTTACCCCCTGCTGATATGTGGTGGCGCAGTAGGGCGCCGCCCCGTTGGGCGTTGTGGTTGTGTGAAAGACGGTGGATCCATCCGGCGCTTGATAGCTCTGCGTATACGTCCAGGTGGTGGTCTTGGGCTCCTCAACAACGGCCACACTGGGTCCATGACTCTGGCTGGGCGTCTTAACCTCGCACTGGCTGTAGGGCGTGGAGCTGGGCGAGACGGACTGGAGGTCACAGTTGACCTGCGTGGCAGCAGCCACCAGAGGCTGCAGAGGCAGAGGCGTCTGGCTGGCCGGCGGCAGAAGGTCGGATGAAGCAGCCGAGGCGGAAGAAGAGGGTCCAGCCAGCGGCTCCTGCTCCTGAGGCAACTCCTGCTGAGCTCCGGCAGCTCCGTCCAGTTCCAGCTGCTTCTCACCCAAAGCACAGCAGGCGGGTATATTGGGACTGGTCGCCTGGTTCTTGTACTTTTGCACCTCGATACGATCGTAGTTCTTCGTGGAGATGGAAGTGGTAATGCTCAGGCAGGCCGTGGCACTGGCCAAGCTATCACAATCGTCACCCTTGACGCTGCCTCCATCCTGCTGCTGCTGCTGCGGCTGCTGCTGCTGGTCGTAGCTCTCGTATCCTTCGGAGCACTCCATGCCCGGTGATTGGGTCTCCTCTGCGTAGCTCTCGGTGGAACTGCAGGAGAGCTCAGTGGTGACATACTGCTGTTGCTGCGGTGGTAGCTGCTGCTGCTGCTGTTGTTGCTGCAGCTGTTGCTGATGCTGATGCTGCTGCTGCTGTTGCAACTGTTGCTGCTGCAAATGCGGAGACGATTTGCGATAATTGTTGTAGCCACCGGAGTTGGAGTTGCCCTGCGACTGGTACTGATTGCCCCCCGTGTGCTGGAGCGCCTGGTTGGGCGGCAGGTTGGACGGGTCGTAGTGGTAGATGGAACTGCAAAGGGTTTATTTAGATATAAAAACAAATATTTCACTTGGCTAAGGAACAACTGAATAGGGTTGAGTGTGTCTTTTGGTAAGTATTTTCTCGCTCGGCAGCATGCAACGTTCGAATAGACAAAAGTAAGTAGAAAGATTATAGAGCGGCGATCAAAATAATAAATTTGTGTGGCTTTACTTTATTTATTTTTATATTATTTATAGTTTATTTATTTAAAAAAAAATACTTTGATTGCAGCTCTATAAAGTAAATAAAAGGAAAGTACAGTCGGCACAAGCGGCTGCTGGCAAAAGTTGCCAGGGTTTTTGCTCTTTGTATAATTTATTTTGAAATATTTTTTTTGTTGCAGTGTATTTTGGCGACGCGACGGCAGCGACAGCGACAGCGACAGACATTTAGGATTATATATAAAAGTAATCGAAAAACAACAACAACAAATGGTTTGATCGACTGATTGATTGATACAATGCGAAATGCAATTTGAACGAACAACAATTAGGATAAGACGACAACACTGGCAGACGATACACGGATACACATTCATTCTTGGGAGTTATCGATCAACGCTGGAGGCAAGGCAAGCTTGGTGATTTGGTTTTTGGTAATGGAAAGGTGAAGTTCTTAGGTTGGCTTCGAGAGGAAAAGTCCGATATGATATATGGGCAAAAATAAGGCGCTCAAAATCATATCGAAAATATCGTTTTATATATCGAAATTAAAAATCTGAAAAATAGCGCAGGTAAATGCTAATTTATTTATGACTCCCTTTTTCAGATTATTTTTCTTCGATATTTAAAACAAAACATCAATTTATCGCACATATCGACTTATATATCGACTTTTACGATGCAGTATTGATATATTATGATATGATATCAAGTTCCGAGTGGCCTCTGTTTCGGGGTTTTCAAATGTGTGTGAGTGTGGTGGTGTGAAAGTGAGAGATAGAGGCACAGATCGAGAGATAGAGAGAAATTGAGTGGTGAGAGGCGATTAGTTATAATCGATATTTATTCGATAGCAGTTGGTGTTGCACTCGGTGTTGGTTAATTTAGTTCGAGTTTAGGCAGATAATTTACAAAAACAACATCAACAAGTCGGCACGAAAAATGAAAAGCTAAAAATGTTGCATATTTCACATATATAAGAACGTATTAATAGTTGTAATAAATAATATATATATAAACATAGCTATAGTTATATATTAAATATTTTTTTAAATATTTGCTAAATATTTAATTAAGCTTCAAGCAATTATTTTAGAAAAAAACATTTGTATATATTGGAAGTTACTCTTTGAAAATGGTATGTCTAAAAAATTTCTTTGAGTTGGCTAATTTTATAGTTTTTTGTAATTTTAGATAATCTGTTAACTTTTTACTTTTAATATTTGCTGAGAAAATTATTTAAAATGTTGTTTTTAAATATAATCATTTTTACTACAGCTGTTTTGTTTTACTATTAAATATATATAACTTTTATAAGGATAAGGTAAACGAATACGGAACTATATCATTAAAAAATAGATATATATATAACATATATAACTGTGCCCTAAAGCCGCATTTGTCGCTCTTTCTATTCTAGTTAGAATGTGTAAGTCGAAGAACAAATAAATAAAGCATTTGCAGAATTTGTTTGGAAAATACGAAAATTTTTGCAGCGATTTTTGTATATTGTTATTAATATTATTAATATTTTTTTAATTGTTTGTGTGGTTTTAATTTGCTTTGGTTTAGTTTTTGTAAATTACCCGTCTGCATTGACAATTGGTTGGAGGGTTTGCGGATCAATGAGGAGGCTGCCAATTGGCACATTCGAAATGTCTGTGACGGCCCAGACGAGTCCCGATGTCCCCGAGGAGTTGGACGACGACGACGACGACGATGCCGATGCCGACCCGGACGCGGCTCCCACTATTCCCAGGGGCGGCGATGTTGCGCCTGCTGTGCCTGCCTGTGCTCCAACCACGGATACCCGGCTGTGGTTGTGCCCATGGCCATGCCCATGCCCATGACTGTGACTGCTATGGCCATGACTGTGACTGGGCGGAGGCGGATGGTTCAGCTCCGGCGTCTGCCTGTCGCTGCCGTAGCCCGTGGGCGAGGGCGTGACGGAGTCGGAGCGCACGGATTGGGTGCGAGTCTTGTAGCTGGAGTTGGTTGGGGAGGTTGGAGTTGGAGTCGGTTGTTGGATTGTTTAAAATGTTGGTTGTTGTTGTTGGTTGGTTGGTTGGTTGTTGGTACATTGTTGTTTCGTTTGTTGTTGTTGTTGTTGTCGGGGAATTGGCATACAAAAATTTTGATTGATTTTGGTTTGTTTTTTTTTTCGTATTTTTTAGTTTTCAATTTTAAATTATTTTGAATTTAAATAAAATGGGGAGCGAGAGCGATTTTGAGTTTGGGTACATGGATATGGTTTTAACATAAATTTATTTTAGTTCACCGGTCCCACTAGGTATTTTTTAATAGTATTCATAAAAAAAATAATAATAATTTAAGTAAATTTAAAAAATTTTATAAGCATTAAATTCTTTTAAATTGAAATATAAAAACCATGGATCGCAAATAAAAGTCAAAGTAAAATAAAAATTAATTCTAAAAAATTGGTATTATGGTTATTTTATTTATTTATTTATTTTTTTTTTTTAATTAAATTGAATTATAATTAATAATAATAATTAATAATAATTAATCAGGGATCGTAACCTGATTAAACGCAAATAATTTCTATTGAGATGTATATCGATAATATCGATGAAAACATTGGCATATTAATCGAAAAAAATATCCCTTTCATATCGAAAATATCAAAAACTAAAGAAATCTTCTACATCCACTTAGTTTTAATTAATTATTATTAATCTTTCCTAGACCTAGTGGTTCCGGTTCAACATTTGAACAAAAAACAACAATTTGAGGCTTTTAGAGCACACTCACCCACTGCTGGAAGGTGACAGCCGCCATGGTGTGGAGGTACTGCCAGTGGAGTCCTGCTTGACGAAGCCGCGTCCGCTCTTGTTCGAGTTTGTGGAATCACCGCGCGGAAGGGAATTGTTGCCGGGACCACCGGAACTGGGCGGTCCACCATAGTTGCCAAAGTTGTGGGACTTGGGCACGGCTCCGCCGCCCGAACGCATAGAACCATCCCGCGATTCCGTGGACTATAAAGTAAAGATTTAATTTAATTAATTATATTAAATTAATTTAATGAAAGTCCTTCCATACATTCTGCATTTGCAGCATCTTTCCATTGGGCCTCTTTGGCCTGGGCGGCTGCTGGGATTGCTTCTGCTGTTGCTGCTGCTGCTGCTCCCAGCCACCGTAGCACTCCTCGTCGCCACCGCCACCGGAATAACCATCCTGGGCGCCGCCAGTTCGACTAAAGATGCGACTACGCGCCCGATCATAGTCCTCCTCGCGCTCCTCAAAGCTCTTGGCCTTACGGTCCAGGGAGAGCGGGCATAAGTAGGGCGACTGGCGCACCTCGTCGAAGCTGTGCGTGTCCCGCTTCAGAATCGATTTGCGTGCATCGTCGCGCACCAGCGACTGGAAGCGTATCTGGAAATCAAAGTATTGTATAAATTAGGGATAATTATTCAGTTTTATAGCTGATGTGTGTGTACCTCTGGTATGCGCGTGCCCTTGGTGACGGCCACAATCACACACTGCTGTGTCTCGGTGTCCACATTATGCTCCATGCCAAAAAAGGCGGCGGTGCGATGGATCAGCATGCGATTGTAAGAGGAAGCGGGCGGAAAACGATACTCACAGCCGCGACTGCAAAAGGGGAAATTCATTAATTATACACACATTTTTTGTTGCTCTAGGATCTACAGATTCTTGACTCACCTATTCTCCTGAACAAACTCCATCAAATCCTTCTCGATCTTAAGCAAGATATTGCGATCCTTGGGATTCTTGTTGAGTGTGTCGCGAAAGAACATTAGGAGATCGGTGCCACCATAGTCCGTGTACTGTTCGCTCGAGTTCTCTGATTGATGAAAGACTAGAATCAGTGAGTGGATGAGCCGGCGACACACACAGAAAGCCGATAACACTTACCGCGCGATATGAAGCCCGAGGTGTTGTTGCTGCTCGAGTTGTTGGAGTTGGACACGTTTCCTCCGCCTCCTCCTCCTCCATTGTTGCCCCCGTCAATGCTGCCGGATGAGCTGCCTCCGAGATTCTTCAAGCGCGGCTTGTTACCCTTGGCATTGGTGTTGTTGTTGGCTCGATGCTTCTTGTTGCCGCCAGCTCCCCTTGGCTCGTAGTGATACGGCTCCTCGTCATGGTTATTGCTCAGATTACTGTTCTGGCTGGACATCTCGTGACGCTCGTGGCGTTCATGTCGCTCTGCCGCCTTGTAGTTCATCCCAGAGTTGTATATTACACCCGTGGAAGAGTTGCTGCCAGTGCTGTTGGTGTTGTTCTGATGCTTCTGGATGTCCAGGCCATTGGTTTTCAGATCCACAACATACTTTTTGCCAGCGGTGTTGTTATTGTACTCCATGCCACTGCCATTGCTATTGGTGCGATTGTGCTGTCCGCCGGATTTCTTTGGTGGCGATAGTTTTGGGAACTCTGCCTCATTGCTGAGCGGGACATTCTGCTGCGGCTTCGGGGGCGACTGTTGCTGCTGCTGCTGCTGACTAGTGACAATCACCGCAGGTGGCGCCTCCATCAACGGCGAGTTGCCCCTTCCAGTTGATTGTGCTTTGCTGTTGTTGTTATTGCTGATGATGGCATTATTGTTGTTGTTATTATTGTTGCTATTGTTGTTTTCTTGGGCTTCCCCCTGGAGCTGCTCGGAGGCGGCGCGCGGCGTTGGCGTGCGCGGCGGTGATGTCGACTCACGCATTGCATGGCTGCGTGTGAGATGTTTGCCCTTCATGTTGCCCTGTTGCAAGGAGAGAAAAAGAAATAAAGGGGCAATCAGAAGTCGTCGAGGGGTTGGAAAGGTAATTAGTTTCAAATTAGTAAACCAAAATGAAATGCCAAAGTTGACCACTACAAGTAAGTGTACAGTAAAGCCTTGTTATAAAGCTTTTTTCCTAAACAAAGACCAGCTTGACCCGATTTAAGGAAATGTATCTTCCATTTATGTAAAAAAAAATATATATAAAATTATTATAATTTAATTTCATTTCATTATTGTTCAACCACAAGTTTCACTTTACTAAACAAAGGCCTGCTTAAGCGTTATTTCAATGTGAAAATCCATGATGCAATTGTTGGCTCATTGAAATGTGAAAAACAAACTCGACGGCTCGACGGGCCCACACTCTCACCGGAAAAACCGAAAAGGTTAGACAGCCAAGGGAGTAAACTCCGCCTCCTGGCAGTAAAATATACCAAAGGATATATATACTATACTGTATACTTTATAATACCCCACATTCTTGCCAAGACTCGGATTGCCTTTTGACATTATCCGCGCGACCTGAAGGACAGAGGACATCGAACGTTATGGAGGATGGGGAGTTCGTTCTCAGTCAGTCTGTCAGTCGGTTCAAGTTTAGTCATCACATTAATTTGTTTCTTGTATTATTTGTTTGCCTCGTTCATTGATTTTCCCAAGACTGACATCATTAATCAGCTGGTTGAAGTCACTTGAAAGGTGGCGATTGGGCTAAATTAACACTTGAAGTCTCAAGGAAATGAAGTGAAATGAGGGAAATCAGGGTTAAAATAAGAGCAAAAGAAATATCTACAAATAAAAAATATATATTCTAACCTGTACTGGTATTTATTCATTTGCCACAAACACTAAACCCAACTTAATTAACAGGAAATTGACTGCCTTTTCTACTTAAAAGAAAAGCTTCCGAGTTGCCTCACCGCAGGCAAAAAAAAATTCCCCGAAACTGCTGAAATACTGAATTATAAAACTGATTTCCTGGAATCTGATTTGCGCCCATTTAACTTTCAATGTGCGGGGGAAAATCAATAAATCGACCTTGGAACCACGCAGCAGCAGCAGCAGCAGCAGCAGGAGCAGCTGCCAGTGAATGGTCCCAAAAATCGTTCTAACGGGGAAAAACTCTAACACACACATAAACAATGATTGACGATAAATCCTGTATGAGCATTTAACCAAGGCAACCGACTAGGGGCCGAAAAGGGGTGTCGTCCAACACCCACCCACCCAACTCATACATACATAAACCTTGAACTCTGGTGTGTGCCTGGCAAAAAGAGGGTTTAGAGCCGTCTGGGATTGTGGGGCGGCAGTAACTGACTGCCAGGAGCCAGGAGCAATCAGAACCACGTTTACCAATTGCACACACTGCACTCTCTTCGGGGTCGATTGGGGAATTTCCAGCTATTGCGATTCGCAGAATATACATATAGTAATCGCCATCCCATACCACCCACCCACCATTTGGACTGCCAGTGACCTGACCCAGTTTATTAGACATTTTTTGGGCGTGTATCCTCTTTGCTCGAGAGTTCAGTTCATGGCTGCATTTATTTCGCTGCGAGAGAGGAGATTGTCCCAGCGAGAGAGAAACGAGAGCAGAGTCCCGACCAGATGATGAGCGGAGAGGAGCCAGAGTAGAGAAGCCCAAAATGCAACTCGACACCTGACAAGATGTGACCTGACCTATATAATCCTCGCCTACGCCTGTCCGGGCATTTTCAAATTAACCTTATTTCTACATTCTAAAAGTTTTTGATACATAAAAACATACTCAGAGCTTAACTTTTGAATATTTTATGATGGGGAAAAACCAAGTGATGCCTTAAAATAATATTAATTTAAACGATTTATATTGTTCTTAAGGGAGAACCTTGTTCCCTTGAATTCAAAATTCTCTATGAAAGTCTATAAATATTTAAAATATCATTAACTTGACTCTTTTGTTTTTGCAAACATTAGTTATTAATTACAAAAGGTCCTGACAGCCCCAAGAACTATTAAATGTTTAAGTATTTAATAACTACTCAGACTTTGTTCGGGCAAATAGCTTAAAACCATTTGAAAAGGTTACACTTCAACTTACCCGTCTGTTGCCGAAGCTATTCTGGCGTCCCAAATTGGCAGCTCCTCCTGATCCGGATCCTGGCACTGTCTGGAACTCCTCGTTGCAGTTGTTGTTGCTGCTGCTGCAGTTGCTTGTGGTTACTGCAGCAACACTAGGGGCTGCAACAGTGGTGGCGGCGGCGGTGGTGGCAACAACAGAGGATGTTGCTGTTGTTGTTGGAACAGCAGTTCCAGCTGCTCCCGAAGATACAGAGGAAGATGCTGATCCTGTTGCTGCAGCAGGTCCGCTGGCAGCAGCGACTGCAGCTGCAACAACTACTCCTCCTCCTCCTCCTCCAAGTCCCACACCCGCTCCCACTCCGGAGGATGAGTTAGTGTTTGAGGCAACGGCGGCGTTGGCACTGGCAACAACTACAACGGCGGCCGCAGCGGCCGCTGTTGAGGCAGAAGCGGCAGAGGATAAATTGGTTGGAATATTCGTAGCTAGGGCTACTTGAGATTTTGTGGAACTCATAATCACAGTTTATGTCAAGTGTACTGAAATGGGAAATAAGAAAAAAGGGAGTTTAGTTAGTGAAACATTTGAAAACTTAAAAAAATAAATTAAATTAAAATTTAATATATATATTAAATTGATGAGGCAAACAATACGCAGGTTACAGATATTCACGTGTGAAACCCTTTCACCAAAGCTCATAAATAGATTTGACTTTAAGTATAATTATAAATTAAATGGATTTACAATAAATGAACTATAATTTCTATTAATTATTATTATATCCCAAGCTTTTGTCAATTGAAAATAAAAATTATTTTTAAATGGTATTATGACACTTAATTGATACAATTGTATATAATCTTTGCTTGATTTTTATTTGGGTAAGAATTTCCCTCATTTCCCTGTTCGTATTTTCATTGCCTTTTGTATAAAGCACTGGCAGTGTCATACAACCACAAAACATTTCAGAAAAATGTAATTATCACCCTTCTATAAATAAATAATTACCTCAATAAGTGAGTTAGACTATTGCATTTTGTTTACACGGTTTTATGTAGCTCCAAAAATTTGTTAACAAATTTTCGTTAATCTGTTAGATTTGGGTTAGTTGTTTGTCTTTTGTTCTGGTTTATGCTGTGTCTGCGGTTCATAAGAATTTCTGCATAGTTTCTTTATTTATTTAAGTATATTTGTACGAATATTTTAAAAGTTTTTTATCTTTTGTTTTTTGTTTTTTAGGTTTTCTTTTTCAGAAAAAAATCATATTTGTCGAAAAGTTGCGGCAGTGCAGTTGAGAGAATATATATTTGATATAAAAAAGAGGTTGAACCAAATAACTCTGACGCTGATGTTGTTTTTCACTCGATTTTCTTTGGTTTTTGTGCGACTTACGATTAGTTTACTTTTAGTTTAGTTTGTTTATAAGATGCAAGGCTTAGTATTTTGTAGATAAATAGTTATTGTATTGGATTTTTGGTGGCAAAAAACTTTGCGAAGAGAGGAAAAATAAAACACAACTTTTGGTTTTGGTTTCCTGTCTGTTTTTTTCTGTTTCGTTTATGTACTTTTTTCTTTGTAATTGAGTTTAAAACGTTTGGTTTTTATTTGGGGTTTGTTTGTTTTTTTTTTTTTATAACGTTGTTTATCACATTTACACCATATCACCGAAAATCAGAAGCTGCCCTCGCTTTTTTTGGTCTGTACACTTGCTTGATTTTCCCAGTTATTTTGTTTAAAAATTAATTCATTTATGCACTAAACACTTAAAGGGCTATTTCTATAATTAATTTTATAATATATATGTATGTATATTGTATAGTTAAAAATATTTTAGTTAAAGCTTTCTCTTTCTTGTTGTTTTGTGATTATTTCTCTCGCCTAATATTATGTTGTTATGTTATATTCTTCTTCCTTCACAATATTTCCTTTTGTTTATTTATTTATACGAAGGTTCTCCTCTGCGGTTCAGTATTTGTTGTTGTCTATATAGTTCAGGTTCTGTGAGGATTTCTTTGATTTCCTGTTGTTTCTAGTGGCACACATTATTTTACTATCTGCAAAGTCGTAGGAAGTTTATTTAGTAGAGCACGATATTTGAGGGATTTCCGCGCACGCAAGAGATATATACAGTGAGAGAGAGAGGGAAAGAGAGTAAGAGAGAAGCTGAGAGAAAGGGAGGAACTTAATAGGGAAAACACGCACACACACCAATAAAAAATATGACCTTGTTTACGATTTATTTTGATATTCAAAACTGCACGACGAAACGAAGTACCCAAAAGGCGAGAAAACCGATTTCATGATGCGAATATTGCCCTCGGCACAATTAAAAGGGTGGATTATATTCGCAAGCTCTCTCTTCAGCTCCTAAACTCCTCAGTTCCTCAGGTCCTTTGGCTCCTTGACGGTCCTTGTAGGGACTGGTTCAGGTTTAACACAATTATCTCGAGGCTTTGATTGCAGAGTAGGTAGCTAATATTGTTCACTTTTTGTGAGCATTAAAAGGGTTGCTCCTGGAACTCCCGAAAAATAATAAATGTTGCAGAATCCAATGATGTTTATCTGTCCGAGTTGAATGGACTTTGCATAAATAAATGAGGCAAGTCGGTGCTCGGTGTGGCAAGTAAAGAAATCTTCCACAAAAAGGGGCCACAATTTGTATTGCAAAAATGATTTTTTTTAATTACAAATTTCTGGGAAAAAATATGATTAAGAAGGGCAAAGGAAAATTCCCAAAAAAATGTAAAAGCAAGAAAGACTTTAAATCTAAGAAACCATTTTCTTGAATATATTATGTATAAACATTCAGAAAAGTTTAAAAACTGTTAGCTGACATACAAAATATTTTTTGTTACATATTTGCAAGCGCCAGTTGACTTTTGCCCTAGTTTTCCTTAGCAATTTTCTTTACAAAGGCTTATGGCATTAACCAATAAGAATTCATATAAGAACAAAAAATGCAAATATCAACAAAGAGAAAGTGAAAATAGATAAACGAAGGTTCCAAGAGTCCGCCCCTAAAAACACCTGACAACAAAAAAATAAAACCAAAGAAAATAAAAGAAAATGAAATGAAATGTCATGACAGTCGCACTTGAATCTTATATTCTGGGAAATACCCGCGAAAAAGGCGAAACGAGATTTGGAGAAGAATATAGAGAACACATACAGGAGAAGGACAGAGAAGAGGTGGAGCAGAATAGAGCAGAGAGATGGCAAGAGGAAGCAGGCAGGTGACAGATGACGTAGCCGCCTTAAAAAGAAACACGCATACGACGTGTGGCACACGACCAAAACGAAGGTGACGACGTCGTCTTCGCCTTCGTTTCTCCGCGTTTTCTTCTTGGAATGAGAATAAGTATGGAAACGAGGCAAAGGCAAAGTTCGCCGAGGAAAATTTGGGACAAGAGTCGGAAAATTGCATTCCCAGCGTAAAGCAGAAACAGAGGACGAGAGTTCCGTGAAGGGGAGCGCAGTGGTATCATCGCTTGCATGTGCCATGGCATTACGACTTGCTTTCGACTTGGCCTTCCCGCTGTTTACAGCTGCTCGCTCACTCACCCACACCTCCCTTTTGGCTGCTGCCACCCGCTCAAAGCGACAAACAAAAAGCTTCGCCGTACTTGCGAGGAGCGAGGAGGTGCTGCGAGCAGCGAGTACTAGGAAATGTGTTGCGGTTGTCTGCGGAGCGAAAGCTCCAAGGCGCCTGCGTGGGAGAAATTAAAAGAGAGGAACTCACAAGAGAGAGAAAGCCAGAGCCTGGCGGTATAGGCACTGGGAGAAATAATTAGGTAGTAACTAAAGAGACTCACAGAATGGTAGAAACACCTCTATAACATTTCTTCGATTTTTCTAGTTCGATTATTTTTATTAAGCTGCAAAAAATTCTAAATTCTGTTCATTTATGAAGAAATTATTCATTATTTAAGAAATTTTTAAGTATAAACACAAAAGTTTATACCAAAGTTTAACTGATCTCCCTATTTTTGTCCAAGTGTATTACTAGAAGAGAGCACCGCGTGTGCCTGCAATCCCGAAGCCCGAGCAGGAAGTGTCGCTGCGATGCACTCGCAAAGGCACCAAAGGAAGCGGCTAAGGACAGGGAAATCCGGGGGAAAAAGAGGCGCAGGAAAAACTTAAAATGGGCGAAATGGGGCGTGCACTTGCCACAAACCAAATAGTCAAATGATTATAATTTGTTGACACGCCGATAATACGTTCCCGCTAACATGCACTTTTCATCAGTTTCCCTCACACGGACACGGAAAAACTCTACTAATTTGTTCGACGAAACGTCACCGAATTCAACATAAGGCAGTGGGGAAAATGAGGAAAAAATACGAAATGAAAAACGAAAAAACCGAACACGAGCAAAATTGCCGAGCGCCCATATAGTATGTGTGTGTGTGTGTGTGTGTGTTTGTGTGGGGGCAAAACGTGTGAGACTGTGTATGTATAATACACCAAAAATGCCACAAAATAGCAGAAAAAAGAAAGATTGTCTTCTTCTAAAAACCAAATGAAAATTCCTCGCGACTCGAAAACATTTTTCGCAACACTCAGACACACACACACACTTATTTCTCTGCACTTTTTTGTATATATATTTTTAAACACACTCTGCTGCCCGGCGAAAGGGGCTTCCTTTTTATAAATGAGGAGCTTTACTTATATCCCATTTACTTCTCGGTGTCTGCGGTCTCAGCACTAGCACTATTCCAAAACCGATTTCCATTTCGATTTCGATTTGATATTGGAATTCAATGTTGCTTCTTCTAGTTTTTGTATAGTTTTCTGGTTTATTTATTGCTACGCGCGTGCCATTTTCAAGACGATTTGTTTTTTGAGTTTTTCCTTCGTTTTGGATGTTGTATGTTGAGCAAATCCCCTGTCCGAAATATAAAAGCCCAACTCTCTGGATTTTCTCTCTCTCTCCTAGTGGTCTCTCACTCACACTCTCTTTCTCTCTCACTTTTTGTTATTTTTGTATAATTTGTATATTTTTTTTTCTGGTAGAAGAAAAAAAAAACCGAATTTTCTCGGGCACTAATTTTTCTTGCCTCCGCTCGTTTGCTTCATTGTGAAAAATGTATTTTTAAGCTGCTGCTGCTCCGATTTTTCTCCTTGATGTTGCTGCTGCTGCTAGTGTTGCTGCTGTTGGTGTTGCTGCTGTGGATATTGCTGCTGCTGCTGCTGCTGGTACGGATGACAATGACAACTTTGGCAACGGCTGCGACAGAAGCGACGACCGCTGGCGGACATTATGGGAACACGGCCGAATGGATACTGGGCCAACTCGCTGGCTGGCGAAAAATACTGTCCCAACCAGCCTGGCACACACACTCACTGTCTCTCTTTCTCTGAGAAGTTCTCTCATTTGAAAATCTCCTCCGGCAAAAGGGTGGCAAAAGCAGCCTAGTGTCTCGCATTCACTCTCTATCGCGGGAAGAGAGAGCGCTGCGAGTGCGTAAAAGCTTCGCGGAAAACAGGTTAAAGCGTATGCTTGTCCTGCTCCCCTGCTCTCTCTCTCTCTTATCTCTCTCCCCGTTTAATGTGCCACTATAGTTCACCCGATGTCCCATGGCCCAGAGCTAAAATGCTTATTGGGGTGGCATTTGCTCTCAACTCTTCACTGGGCAGATCACTTGCAAAAAATGGGATTTAAAAACTAATTATTAATTTTAAATAACTTTAAAATTTATATTCTCCTTTTTCTTTAAAGTTCATAGAATAAAAATACTTGTTTTTGGGTAACTAGTCGTATACGTAATATGGAAACCCTTTTACACTTTAACCTCTTTTCACTCTCCTAGTAATCTATTGAATATTTTATCAATGTAAAGTCAACTTTCCACTTTTGCTATGTTTATTTTGTATGTATTATTTCTTCGAGTGTTCTCATCTACTTCTTCTTGTTGCTGCTGCTCCTGAACGCCGCTGTGCCTGTTGTTTTAGTTGTTGTCATTGTCCTTCCTAATGCGTATTAGTATGCGTGTGCTGCTCCGACTGCAGTTGTTATAGTTCTTCTTCTGGTTACTGGGCATCTCCGCGTCCTTTATGTTTTGCTGTATATATCCCTCTATATAAAAGCCTATATCGCTGCTTGCTTGGTTCTTTGGCTTCACTTCCTAGCAGGCCGCCAAAGGACCTTGGACATGTGGCTATTAGTGCGTGAGAGTGCAAGGGAGAGAGTGGAAGAGAGAGACAAAGCGAGAACCAAACAGGATTGTTTATGGCACAAAAAAATAAACTTCATTAAAGTCGATGATGTTTTCAATGTTCTCTATACCTGAAAATCGAATTCAGTTTTAATTGAATGTAAATACCAAAGAGGTTTTCCATCAAAGCAATCTAAATCTGGGATTGAAACTCATATAATCAAATTGTTTAGGTGAAAGCTAGCCAGCAAAATGAATGGAAATAGTTTGGATACAGTAAAAAATGCCAGAAAAGGATACTTTGGACAATGAAATATCCTACAAAATTGCATAAGGAAAAATGGGGAATTCATTTAGAAATATGTATATAAAAAATTAAATAAAGAAATAATTACTTTACTTTAAATATTTTTCAAAATGTCCACAAATAAAGACTTTTTAGGCACTTAGCTAAAAGGGCATAATTAGCATTATTATATTTTTTAGTATAAAATTAGATCTTCCATGTAAAACTTTGAGCCATAAATCATCATTTATACCCTGGCCAAGCATAAAACTTTTTTCAATTCAATTATCCTTGCAAATCACTGCTAAATTGACCAAAAAAGTGTCCATCAATTGAAGCTGCCGCCATCTCTTTTTATTGCTTTTCTCTCGCTTCTGGCTATCTCTTTCCTGCCTGCATATCTGTCAATTTGGAGCCTGAAATTGCATTTGATTCCTAACGGAATATGCCAGTTATTTTATTTTCCTCTCTTTTTCTCCTGATGATGAATGCATTCATCATTTGAGTGGGCAATAAAAAAGCTTTTAGAATTTTGTTGCTTATGGAAAAAAGTATGCAAAAAGGGGGAGGGAGGGAGGAAAAGAAGAGAAAATACAGGAATAAGGATAAAAAAACAGGCATTGTTGCTGCCAATAATGTTAAGCCAGGAGTGTAATCACAATTGTTCTTTCTCAATTTAGTTTTATTTTTACCTTTGCACAGGATAATTGTATTGTTTATTTTTTTATTGGTTTTCAAATGTGTCAATATAGTGATATAAAAGTATACAGTTAATAATTATAAAACTAGCAACATATTTTATTTTCTAAGCGTATAAATTAACTTTGTTTAATGCAAGTTTTTGTGAAATTATAATTGTGTTTAGATAATTTATAAACTATTAGTATCCCAAGCATCCAAACTCTACTTTGCTCATTGTGCATTGTTGCGTTTAATACCGCAAACTGTGAGATAAAGTCAGGTGAAGCGTGTCCTAGATTCCACTACAAACACAGACAAACAACAAACAACAAACAAAAAACCCCTGTAAACACAAACCACACACTCATACACACGCATAGAAATTCCACCCCGAAGTATGCAACATAATTTTAGTGCAAACAACGCAATAACGCAACTTTTCGTCTAGAGGGACCTTGAATTCAATCAAAGTTGCGCTAACAATCCGGCAGATACTTTAGCTACCTCTCGCTCTCGCTCCCATTGCCTCCAGCTTCCGTCTCGCTCTGGCAAATTGCGAAATAATTTGCATCGATTAGCCAAATGGTTCCCGAGCATCCCCCCCTTCCCTGGCATGTCCTTCTCATTCTCTCTTTTTCTCGCTCACAGCTCTCGGGAGACTTTTTTGCCTAAGCAGGGAAGAGGAAGAAAAAGCATCTGGGGGATGTCAAATGCGTTTCCCCAAATGCGGCGTAATAAATTACACTAAACGACAAAATAAGGGTTTAAAGTACTTATAGATGTATCTATTGTACTTTAATTTATCTATAAACTATCTATAAACTGAAATTTTTATAAAAAGTTGTAAAAACCTGGGCTAGATAATGTTTATTAATAAATTTATAATTAATGAATAATTAAATTTTTTATTTATATTTGATAGGATATTTTTATCCTCATATTATATTAACTAAGGTGGCTAGTGTAATTTTTAAGAAATACTGGAATGATGATAATGGAACAGGAAATGATGGTACAGAAACACAAAAAGAGAGGGAGAGACACGAGACTGTTGCTCCTCTCTCTCTCATCTCTTGCTCCTCTCGGTTAATGTAATTGCACATTCGTGAATGTCGCGCCTTTCGCCTGCAATTACGACATCTTATTTGGGTCAACTCGGAGAGATAGCTCTCCGGAGAAGGAGGCGAAAGAGATGGAAATGCGACTAGAAAGAGAGGGCTACTAGCGGAGAGAGAGAGACAGAGAGAGGCAGAGACCGAGCTTAAGCTCGCCGCACGTGTGAGCTTAAAAGCGCAACGCATTTCGAGGCCAAGTGCCGAGCGAGGATGCGAGGATTCGAGGACTCGAGGATACTGCCAGCATCCGTCTGTCACTTCCGCAGGCAACTGCAGTAGTATTCAGAAGGAGGGTTGGCTTTAAGGGGGTGGCTGGCTATGCATGGACGCGGGGTGCAATACTGCACTCAGTGTCCAGTGGGTGTGGCCGGTGTTGGCCCAGTTAAGTTCGCCCTAAAGGCACGGTAAGCATTCGCCCAAACGGCACTGAATTTAATTTAAAACGCAAATAAGAGTATTTTTTCCTTGAAAAGCAAAAGTTATAATTATAATATGTGGATTAAACTCCTAGATAGTTCCTGAAAGTGTTAAATATGTAATAAGTTTTATTAGACTGCTCTTAACTTTTGTTAAAGATTTCACCTGAACAGACGATATACAAGAGGAGCTGAGAATGTTAGAAAACTGGGAGGTGATGGCCATTAAAGCCTTTTGTGATGATCCTGCTGGGGGATATTAAGCAAGCAAATCTAATCTAATTAGCCGGCAAATGCCAAAGCAGAGTAAACTCTTGCTGAGAGTCAAGGCACCCTCACTCCTCCCTCTTAATGCCTCCGTGGACCACCTGAGCGAGCAACCCACTGTGGCCACCTCTTTAACACCTCCCCCGCTTTGCTTTTATGGCGCAATTAAAATGCTAAATGCTTTACGACATCGCCCAGGGGGGGTTCTTTAATTAATTTGCCTGTGACAATGACTGGGCCATGCCACGTCTCGTGTCTTGACGACCATGAAAGGTGTTAACAACAAACGTTTGGCTAAGAAAGGAGGCAAGGACATCAGCACCACCTCCTTTTACTTACACTTGCTTGACCCAGACGAGCAAGCAGGCGAGCAACAACAAAACAAAACAAAAAACGGGCAGAAGGACACGCAGGCAGACAACCCAGAGAAGTCTTCATTTAAGCGCTCCTAACAACCTCATACTCGTTTTCCTCCACCTCTATCGCAACTAAATCCCAAGCCCCGACACTTCTATCGTCTGATTATGCCAGCTTTGATGGATATAGTCACCCTCAACTGGTTGTCTCGGATTGTTTCCGAGTCAGGTATAAGGTGGGACCTTGTTTGCATAGCCTATTTAGAATACTCTTGGCTTTTGTTTAGATTCAAAAATCAGGAAATTATTTAAATGAGAAATCAAACCTTATTATTCAAATGCAGTCAACGGATTCGAAGTTAAAGCTGGCAAATATAACTTTTCTGACTTTATAGAACCTATACATTAACTTACATTTTATTACATCAATATATGTAGCTACCCTTTAAGACGAAAGACCACAAAATTATCTAAACGTTTTAGGCCTTTTCCTAGGCTTCTTTTTAGCTGACTCAAGACTTAAACTTGCAAAGTCCATGGTAAGTAACACAGTGAATCCTGTGACACAAGGGCTAGACTAAACGGGAGTAATACATCAGCAAAAAGGAACAAATTTAATAGGAATAGGAAAACAAGAGCGAAAGTTGCCGAGACAGCATCTCCTGCCCCGCCATCCTCAATCATTCATTTGGCATATGAAAAATTCTTGTTGCATATACAAAGGGGCACCAGGGAACCGACATTTGGGGCCATTTGATTGTTGGCCGCTGTCTGCAGGTATAACAGCCATATTCCGGGTTCATTCCACGTAGCCATATAGCCACCTGCGGGAATTATGAAATATGCAAAAAGCATCTGCAGGGGCCTTAGAGGCACACCCTGGCGGCCTGTCGCCCATCCACCTCCTCACCTTCCTCTTTTGCGGGAATAGAATTCGCTTGGCATCGCAACTTTGTCTGCAGAGAATCTAAAGAGGCAGCATACAAGGGTGAACGGGTGGCAGTTTGAGGCCTCCGAATCAAAATCAAACACAAAAACAAAACTGGCGTAACCGATGAGATGTCATGTGTCTACTCTTATCATAGGCGATTATTCATAAGATGCAGCGAAACGAATAACAGGTGAGATTCGATAAACTAGAGCTGCAATTAAAAAGGTTACCAAGGTAAGGGTAACAGCTTAATTATACGATATATGTTAATATACTTTACAGTAAACTCCTTAAAAGTAAAGTAATTTAGGTGAATATCTTTGCAAAGTATAAACTTCTTGAAGAATTGATAATTTAATTTCTTATAAACACACATACTTATATATATTAAGTTCCCTTTTTAATTTAAGCTATGTTTCACCTATTTAAAACAGTTTTTCATCAGTTAAGTGTGTCTAATTTTATGTTAAAAATGTAAAACAAATATGTACACTGTTAATCTAAAAGGAGAAAAATACATTTTAACCGTATTGCTTTTTAATATATGTTTTTTTTATAAATAGAACTTGGTTTACTTATAACTGAAATAGGATTTTGGCAAAAATTCGGCCAACAGGAGTTGGCCTGTCGAAAAAAAAAAGCCAGAATGTCTTAGCAAATTTAAACAAAATAACAAAAGATAGCAAATGGCATGAACAAAGGCAATAAATTAATTTACACAAATTCCCAAAATTCTTCAATGAAAAATGCTTTTTTGCAGTAAGATTTGCATTCAACCTTTTTTTGTATTTGTGTAACGACAACGAATCGGACGGGCGAAGCGAATCCGAGCGCAGCAACAAAAGACTAAATACTTGTTTTCTTTTCTTTTTGCATTCTTTTTGTTGTTTTATTTCTTTTAACAACTGAAACATTGTGCGACAACGACGACATTTCGATTATAGCATCAGCCAAGATACATCGTCATCATCACCGGCGAGAAACATCATCGTCTAAGGCCTCATCGAATACAAAAACGAATATCTAAATATTTGAATAAAATAATAAACAGAGCAAAAGGCAGAGAGAAACACAAAACAGCGACGTTTTAGTGCATTCAGTGTGTAAAAATGCACAGTAAACACCTGAATAAAGGAATTAGTTAAGGCAGAGCCATGTGGTCAAGAATGAAATATAATTGTGGGTTTCCCCAAAACAGCTTTAAAATCAATTCCAAAGGAATTTAATACAAATTCTTTGATATTACATTCTAATAAAGATTTTAATTATTTCAAGGGCAAGATTTTCCAATAGCTACAGGTTAAATTTAAGTTAAGAAAACGAATTATAGATTATGATCTATGATAATACTATAATCGCCACTGTCCCCTAAATATATTCTTGTAGATTGGCTACAAGTAAAGTCATTCCCGGGTTAACTTTTTGTTTTTTTGGGAGAGGCCACAAACAAACCTGACGACATGATCACGACGCCACCGGTGGTGTAAGAGAGAAACGCTGCGTAGCACAGAGGGAAGGTAGGAAGGGAGAAATGATACCAGCCTGGTCGCATGATTCGCAAAATAGATTTTCAATAAAAACCCACTCGAAAACGCCGACAATGGCGGCGGACGTAGGCCAAAGAGCCATTTCGAATCTATTTTAAACACAAACAAAAGCATTCTCTATAAATCGAGCAAATGCGAAGAGGAAGAAACTTACAGAACTTACTGACAAGAATGTGATATGTCCCCCAGAGTTATGGGTCCTTGACAAGCTGGAGATAATATACAAAAGGATATTTTTGTGGTCCTGCTCTGAGAGCAAAGATCTTGAATATGGTTTAGTTTGTCCAAAAGTTGAGGAATTCCGGTAAAAGATTAAAGAGGATTCAGATACACATATCCCTTACTTTGTGCGATTTATGGATATTAGATCTAACATGTTTTTAACTATTAAATTAAACTATTAGTTGATTTTCTTTAAGTTTTTATACGTTTCTACACTTTTAAAAATAGAAAATAAAAAACCCCTTAGACCAATTTTAAATCTCTTAGAATACGATTTTTCGAAGGTTTTCGTAATCAAGTCCATACAGAAACCTTTATTTTAAGTTAATAATTACTTTTAAACACCAAATTCTCAGATAACATTTTCGATGAATTTAAAAATACTTTGTCCTGGGAAAGGGACACTAAGAAATGTTATTATTTAATGTATTTTGCAATGAATAAACCGGCATGGAACAATAACAAAAAAAAAAAAAAAACTGCGCTTTGGGTTCTTCTGCGAACAAAGATGGGATTCTGTTCCAATTGGAAGAGACATACAACCCTGTGCAACTCCGTAAGTGCAGCCGGCGCTCCAAGAACCAAGATGTACGCGAACGAAATCACTTGTTACAATTTTGACTCTGTTCACGTCACAATACGCTGCAAAACACTTTATTTGCCGATCCTAGCCCGATTTTCCTGCGAATTTGGCGAAAAAACTCACCATTTTCAGTTCTGCTGGCCATGGCGACTGTTGTTGGATATTCTCTTTTTTCCCTTTCTGTTGACTTCCTTCTCCGCTTGCTCGGCTTCTCTTCGCCGCTTTACCGTTTTATGCACGAGGGAGCGGCGGACGATCTGCGGTGGCGGCACTGCAGTTGTGGGAGCTCTTCGCGGTGCTTTTCACATTTGTTTAAACCGCCGATACACAATAATAATAATAATAATAATACAGAAAATGAGGTTTTCAACGGTATGACCCGTGTGACAAATCCTTCACCGCCGCCAGTAAGGTTTTGAGGAAGATGCAAATGAATGTGATTGGTCACACTGTCTCAGCTGATATATCGATAGTTCTCAAGCAGTCTGGCAGCTCTAATATATCGGGAATATTTGTATATTAATTTTTCTTGATTTTAATGGAATTATCAAAGGGTATTGGTAAAATTTAAATTGTGAGTCGTGCAAATTAAAGTTTGAATTTATTAAAAAATACTTGTAGAAGTGAAACTTAAATATAAGGTGCAGTCTGGCAAACGCCGCAATAGAACTTAACAGAACTAACACATTTTACAACACTGAACTGTTAACCCTGCTAGAGCGCCAAATGGTTTCAATTTGAAATATAAGAAAATAAACATGAAAAACAAAGAATAATTTCGTAATAATTTTTTTGCATATTTATTACACATTTAAATACAATTCGCTTTGATATTTCGAGCAGGTATTTTTAATTTAAGGCAAAAATCAGATCCAAAAACTCATTTTCAAAGCCGAGTGCATTTTAAACAACTTCAATTATTTCATTTTGGTGCGAGTTATTTACTTTCAACTTGGTGGTACGGCAGTTAGGTAACTTAATTCTTGGAATACGTGTCACTTTAGCGATTTTTCACAATAATTTATTTGGATTTTCTCGAATCAACTCAATTCGATTTCGACACACTTTCAGCTTAAGGTTATTAGTTCATGATCATGAGTTGCGTATACGCTTTGTTCGGCGTACGGATTCCGGTTTGCGGTTATGGCCCGTTTTATTTATTTACACTAACTCCAGGCGCTTCATCTCCTTGAACAGCTCGTGTCCCATTTTGGCTGGACTCCTGGTCACAATAACGCCGGCCTTCTCCAAAGCGGCGATCTTGTCGTTGGCACCTCCCTTTCCGCCCGAAATGATGGCTCCGGCGTGGCCCATGCGACGACCGGGTGGCGCCGACACACCGGCAATAAACGAGACCACAGGCTTGGCCTTGATGCCCTGCAATTAAGAGAAATAATTGAAGATTTAATTTAAACATTTATTAAAAGTATAAAACGCAGTTACTTACCGAATTGTATTCGGTCAGGTAATCGGCAGCCTTCTCCTCGGCCACACCTCCAATCTCACCGATCAGGATGATGCCCTTGGTCTCGGGATCCTTGAGGAAGACCTCCAGGCAGTCGATGAAATCGGTGCCGTTGAACGGATCACCGCCAATGCCCACGCAGAGAGTCTGGCCCAGGCCCACCTCGGTGGTCTGGTGCACGGCCTCGTAGGTCAGGGTTCCTGAGCGCGAGACCACGCCAATCTTGCCGCGCTTGTGAATGTGACCCGGCATGATGCCGATCTTGCACTGCAAACCGAAAAAGATAAGAACAATAGTTGGGTTTTTGAAATTGTAATTCATAAGCTGAAGTCTGTCTATTTGAAATAGACATTAAACCGATATTGTTATTAATTTCTTAACTTTAGTCTGTGTGCGTCACGCCGAGAGATAAGCGGCATAAACAGAGCCAATGGAAATTGAACTTTGCACCGCTTCAGGCCAGTGCTTATCTCTTGGACTTGGCGAGTTGGAGATGTGCGAGTACGAACCTGTTCTGGGGCAATGATTCCCGGGCAGTTGGGTCCCACCAATCGCGACTTGCTCTGGCTAATCAGGGCATGCTTCACCTTCACCATGTCGTGCTGCGGCACACCCTCGGTGATGCACACAATCAGTGGGATCTCCGCCTCCAGGGCCTCAATGATGGCAGCAGCAGCACCAGGCGGCGGTACATAGATGACGGTGGCATGTGGATCCGTTGCCTTCTTGGCCTCCGCCACCGAGGCGAAGACGGGCAGGCCCAGATGCTGGGTGCCACCCTTCTTGGGGGAAATGCCGCCGACCAGCTTGGTGCCGTACTCCAGGGCCTGTTGGCTGTGGAACGTGCCCTGCTTGCCGGTGAATCCCTGGCAGATGACCCGCGAGTCGCCGTTCAGCTTAAGGTTGCCGCGCGTCTTGTTGTACTGCGAATTGCAGCGTACGCCGGCAACAAAGCCATCTGAAAAATTGCAAATATAAATCATTTATCATTTATTTGTTAGTATATTTATTAAATATTGAAAGACTTGTACTTAAATAAAAGGACTCTGGAAAATATGTATATTTTATATAACATAGTTTCGAGTCAAAGACCTCTTTTGCTAGTACTAATTTAATTTCATTAGGCTTTGTGTTGTACACTAGACTTAATTCTGTTAAATATATAATATTTTATATATATATATATATATATATATATATATCATATTTATATCGTTTAATAAACGGGAAAATATATTTGTTCTGTAATATTACTTGTTATTCACACCAAATAAGACATTTAACCTTATTGTGGAGTATATATACATATATATATATATATGTATATATATATATAAACAGCACATTTACATTATACAAACAAAAAAAATATTAAATTGATTTTACTTGCTTAAATAACGACCCTTAAGATGAGCTTGTTAATGTCAAAGCGATTTCACAGTTAATGTAAAATTGTTCGAACTTCGAACACCTTTTCATTTACCTTTCAAAGCATATTCTGATTTCCCCACTATCGCCATGCGAATTTTATATATTGCTCTTATTCTTATTCCTTATTTTTGTATTTCAAGATATCACAATATATATGGGCATTTCCACAGAAAGGTCCACCGCGGCCAAAAAACTAAAACTTCTCTAAAATGCTTATATATGTTTATACCAAAATTCTGAAATAATACCAGAAGCTCATGTCTCAAAGTAGATTAAAATACGTTGAAAAACAACGAAGTTATTTTTTTATGGCAGCTATAAGATATAGTGGTCCGATTTTCATAAAATTAAAAGCGAAAATCTGAAATAATATAAATTGGCTATATCTCAAAAATTATGCAAAAATTTTGAAAAACTGCCAAGTTATAATTTTTTTTCTAAAAATTGATCGAACATTTGTATGGCAGCTATATGATATAGTTGTCCGATCCGGCCCGTTCCGACATATAGTGCAGTGAGAGTATATAGAAGACTATATGCAAGGGTTTATTTAGATAGCTTTAAAACTGAGGGACTAGTTTGCGTAGAAACGGACAGACGGACATGGCTAGATCGACTTGGTTGTTGATGCTGATCAAGAATATATATCCTTTATAGGGTCGGAAACGTCTCCTTCACTGCGTTGCAAACTTCTGACTGAAATTATAATACCCTGCAAGGTTATAATAAACTACGCTATATTTCTGCTTGTAAATTAAAGCATATGAAAGTGACATTATTGCATCACATTTTTAAATTTGTTTCATTTAAATAGTCCCTGCCGTTTCGCTGAAATCAGTATTTAAACAGCTCGCCGCGAAAGTGACTTCTGTTTTTGTCGCGTGCAAATCCTTCAGTTTTTTTAAATTTTCTTTAAATTGAGCAAACACTCAAAATCAACATTTGCACCAATTATAGTCCTAGGCAAGAGCTATAAGTTAACATTTATAAAAAAAAAAAAATGAAATGTACAATACTTTTTTTATTATTTGAATGCGTACAAATGTCGAAATATGTTGACATGTGGGGTGGATGGCCACCCAAAACGTGCGACTGGTTCCCGCCACATTACTTTGAGCCCATATGTGCTGGCCAATATTGTCAGCAACACGAGGTTTGTAGGACTGAAAGACCGGGCGAGCCAAGTAAGTATAGGTCATTTGTAATGCGGAAATAATTTAAAGAAATAACTTAAAGATTATCAATACATTTCAGTATTTTCATATGTTGGGAAGGGAAGATGTCCCCCCGGGAAAGCGTGCCCGCCGCCAACCAAAAAAGCTGTTACGAAAAAACAACCGAAAATAAATAAAATAAAAACTACAAAAAAACCATAAAAATGATAGACTATTTACTACTGTGTATTCTGGATTTCTAATAAATTGTTTCAGCATTTAAAGAATATTTTAGGTTTAAAAATGAAAAATATATATAATAATTTTAATTGTCATGGAAAGTTACCGATTATCGAGGTATCACTGTGTTCTGATAGTCAAAAAAGCCGTTGTTTGTACGATGGGTAACATGCGAACCTTGAACGCATACTTTGAATATTTTATAAGCTAAGCTTTTGCAAATTATGTTTAAGGAACTTGTGAGACAATTACATAATTTGGGAAAAAGAAAAATATTATTAACTTTAGAAATATATATTGTAGATAGATATAATAAAGTTGTATATTTTAAAATTTCTTTTAATATTAAAATTCGTATAATTTCTCTGCAAACCCTGACAACACATTAGGACCTCAAACATAAATAATACTAGCCACAAAATTTGATTTAAAGTGCTTCAAAACTAAGAGTCTAGTCTACGTAGAAACGAACAAATGGACATATTTTGAACATTAGTTTTTGACAGTAAATACTAAAATTTCTGGTGTTAATTTTATATATCTTTTAAGGCTGTCATTATTTTAAACTCATTTACACTAAGAATTTATTTGGCGTTTCATTCATTCTTTGCAAGTTTCTTTATATTTATCTGAAAAAAGGATACATCTATTATCCTTTTATAAAGGATAATCTTTGCCGCACTGCAAAGGTGCTTTTTCAATGAAGAAAATATGCTTTACTTTTACAATATAAAAACAAAAATGCATTAAATTGATTTTACTTGCTTCAATACCGACTGTTAAGATTAGTTTTCTAATGCCAAATTGATTTCACAGGTAATCAGAAATTGTTTGAACACCGTTTTATTTACCTTTCAAAGCATTTTCCGATTTCCCAGTATCACCATGCGAATTTTGTATATTGCTCTTATTCCAATTGAGTTTTGATTGTTATCAAAAATGTTTTTAACCAGAGCCTTCCTTATTTTTGTATTGCAAGCTATTACAATCCACATATCAAATATAAAATGCAAAAAGTGCGAGTGGACCCCGCCAAAATACTATGAACCCTTATGTGGAGTTGATAAAACATGCAACTATAACGCTGCTAACCGAGAATTGCTGGATATGGAGATTTGTAGACGTGAAAATACACTCGGCGTGCCACGTAAGTATAACAAAATTTGTAATGCGAAAGTAATTTGAAGTTTATCAAAATATTTCAGCATTTATATATATACGGTGGGGAAAATGTCCCCCCGGCAGAAAGTGGTGCCCTCCAACCAATATTGCAAATTCAAAACATTATAAAAATAAAGAACAATTAGTGAATAAAAAAGCTAAACCAAAACCAAAAACAACTACAAAAAAACCATAAAAATTATAAATAGTATTTACTAATGTGTATTCTGTATTTTGATTTTTTTTAGAATTTAAAAAAATTGTTTGGTTTATAAATGAAAAAATTTAGTTTTAAAAATTTTAAAAAAAAGTTTTCGTTTAAAAATGAAAAATATATGAATTTGTCACGGAAAGTTACTGATTATCGAGGTATCACTGTGTTCTGCCGAAAAAGCCGTTGTTTGTACGATGGGTCACATGCGAACCTTGAACGCACCTCCCCCGGCTCCTCACCCTCCCCCTCCCACGCACCAACGCCTGCACTGCACAGCTAAAACAACTCTTCCTCTTCACCGAAGCCACGTATCTGGCAGGGCTTGTAAATTAATCCGGCTCGTTAATGCCAATTGAAGCTGCTTAATCAGAAGAAGCAAGCGGACCGACAGGTGCCCTCTAGTTGTTTGTACTTTTCCCACTTTTGTGCCGCAAATCCATCAAAGTTATATAAGTTATTATGCTTTCACACGCCTTTGGCGGCGATTATTAGGCAATAGGTAATTTAGATACGCACCTCGCACCTTCAGCAGCGCCCTCATAGAAGCAGCCATCTTATGTGTGTTGGAGGGTTGTGCGATTTGAAGCAGCTTTCGTTAATTAAACGCGTTTAATTTAATTTCGCGAACTCAGCCGAACAGAAGGTGACGCCGTGCGATCTGGCAACGCCGAGCTACTTAAGAATTAGAGGTGGGAGTGCAACAGGGCTGCCATATGGTTGGCAGGTTCTTTAGACGATACTATCGTTTTAGAAAATGTTAAAAATATAATTTTAAATATGTTTAATTTAATCAAGGCAGTAATTGCTTTAAAAATTAAAGTTGCCGTAGAACCTAAACAAAAAATGTACAGAATTTTATACAAGAACAAAGTTAGGAGATATATATATTTTTTAGTTTAAAAGTTAGTAGCTTGACGACTTAAAATTCATGTTAATTTTAATATTTTCATTTAAATTAATTAAATAATTTAAACAAAAATATGTATATTCCTTCTGTTAATTATCAGTATCAACTTTTAACATTTCCACAAGTGAGCGTTAGCCAACACTGGCCACCATTCAAATAAATGCCCCGATATCCGCTTGAGCTGAACCTTTATTTTGAGAAATGAAAGAAAGGACAGGACAAGAGGTGCGTATGGTCTACATAATAAAATAAAATATAAAATATATATTGCCTCTCGTTGGGCCGCCTAACGCCTAAATGCTGCGGATGGCCTACAGATTTATCAACTAGCACAAATTACACGAAAAGCGCCTACGAGTCTTCTCCATTCTCTACGTTTTAAAAACTTTTGCAAAGGCCAAAATGTTATACAAAATATACGTTTGTATTAAGAGTTAATATTAATTTTTTTTTGAACGGAGGGCTGAGTGGTGGGGTTGCAAAGTCTATCAGGTTTCTTTCGCTCTAAATGTCTAATTGAACTGATTCTCCTCGGCCGGTGGGAGTTCCTCCAGTCCCGGATGATCGTGGACATCGGGTTCATCCTCATTGCCGCCGCGATTAAATGCATTCTCCTCGCCCTTCTTCAGACGCTGGTAGACCAAAATGGAACGACCCGTGCGCGACTGACGATGCTGCAACAGAGACACGAGATTAGGTGACTGGGCGCCCACAGCCTGCGACCACTCGTCGGCCAGAGCCTGCAAGCCCTCCAGCCTGGTTACCTCTGCGTGCTCGATGCGATGGAGCAGTCGGTAATTGCGCAGGAACACGCTGATATTCTCGGCCAATGGATCGAACAAAACCAAGTGCGACGGCTGGGCGGTGAGCGGGTGTACGGGTATATTGGAGTTAATCCAGTGCACTGGGTTCTCGAAGAAGCGGTCCGCCTCGTCCTTGTACTGCTCCTTCTTGTCAAGATTGGGTTCACAGGTCAGAAAGCGCATGGTTACGTTCTCGTGGATGTGGCTGTGCATGTGGGAAATCAAAAAGATGTCTTAAATTTTTATTTTATTTCAAAAACTCACCTGTAATACGGCGTCGAGTGGCAGGGCATTAGAAAAAGGATATTCGCACGGTGCTCCCGCTCATCACGGTAATCCTGGGCAATCTCCCTTAGCTTGGGCATCAGCTCTATGGGTCCCTTCTGGTGAACGGTGCTCAGATACCATGCCGGAATTATATTGCCCACCAAGATCACCAGGGCAGTGGTCCACAGTATAGTGCTAGAGGCACGATAGCTCCATTTGGACAGGGCATCAGCCGCCACATATAGACACAGGGGCAGCAGCGGTGACACAAACCGGAACTCCTTGTGCTCCACAGCACTCAGTACCAGCAGAGTCAGGAAGATAGTAATCAAGAGCTGTTTGCTAACCGCAAATTTCTCCGACTTCTTCACAGTCTCCATCACGCCAAAGATGAAGGGCAAGGTGTTGATGCCCAGAACAGTTGGCAGTCCCACGGTGAAGTACCAGTACCAAGGATGTGAGCCATAGAAGCTGCCAATGTTGTTGAATATGTTGTACTTGAGGAACTCGTACGGAGTGACAATTAACCGACCATGCCAGTAAGTATCAATGGCCACGCCCAGGCTAGCAACGAGTAAACTGTGAAAACAATCTATGAAATAATTCCCAAAAGAATATCTTTTTAACAGTAGACAACTCACCCGATCAGAACGAAACGCTTGAGTATCAATTCCACAACATTTTGACGGCTCTTTCGCAAATGATACAGGCTCAAAGGAAGCCAAATCACCGCCGCCGTGGGACGCAGGAAGCAGCAGATGGCAGCTGACCAAAGGTAGCCAGTTCCCTCGCCAAACCATGGGAAATAGCTCAGGGCAATCGTGGTCAGTGAGGCCTCCAAGGTATTGGCCAGAGTTCTAGATCCCGTGTAGAACCAGAACCAGGGAACCAGAACCAAAAACAAAGCCCACTTGCGCTTGCCTGTCCACACGAAGAAGCGATAATCGGAGTAAGCGGTTAAGGTGGCCTGTAGAATCCTTGGCAGCAGCACCAGAAGCTGAACGCTGTCTAGATGGAGGAGAGCCAACAGCTTGTAGAGACCGGCGATCAGCAGGGGGTAGACATAGCTGCGAATGCCCTGCACCCATTCCCAGGTCAGGTAGCCGTAACTATGGAGAGGGAATAAAGATATAGATATTTTTATCAATAAAATCACAAAAACAAATTGTACAATTCATTATAATTAATTAAGACTAATGCCAAGATAATTGCTAGAAATATTTTAAGTACATATATCAAGGTACAAGGTAGAAAGGTAGTCCAAAGTACCCTGATATGGTTATTTTCAAAGAAAGCTGAATGAAACTTGGCAAATTTAAATTGTATTTCAATAGGTTTTGTTATCACAGAAGCACAGGATAATATTAAATATTAGCTATTATTAAAATATTAGTTTTTTCTCTGAAGGTAAAATCTCCAAAAAACAATACCCTTTTCTTGGTTACAGCTAATACCCTGTAATAGTTGGCCAAAAACCATGAAATACACCCCAACCAAAATCGAATAAATTACAAATCACCAATTATTATAATGCAAAGATAGACCGTTAGAGTCTGGTACTCACCCAAAAGTGATTTTGTGGGCCACCTCCAAACTCTGCCAATATTCATCCGGGACGTAGTATGTCTGGACCACGAAAACGGAGGCCAAGCGCACGGCCAGAATCAGCAAAAACACGTACAGCAGCCTCATCGCTGCGTGGGTCCCAAAAAAGAAGCAGAAGCCACAAGAGCAGTTCCAAAATTAGTCAGCCAGAAAAACCGGATGAACGATGTCGTCGTCGACTTGTGGTCACCTACAAAAAAAGTGTGTTTTAAGCGCGACTCCAGTTAATTTATTGGCTGCCTAGTGAGCCGGTCCTAACCTTAAATGGTTGCGTGTAGAGTGGAGTTTGGCTAACCGGACGGAATCGCTAGAAATTCCGGAATTTAGCCACGAAAACGAAACACTTTTGGCGGCGGCCTAAAAATAACGCGAACAGAGGAGCAAAGCAAAAACAGAAAACAGTGTGGCCGTACCAGTAAAGGGTTCTTGTTATCGATTAATATCGGTCAGGGATGGAAGCAACGAATTTGAATTATTTTTTATTTATTTTATTTTTTTATATAGAAGATAGATGATGATATTTCTTTAAGAAACCCCATATTTTAATGTCAAAAATGAAGTCAAACCAACATACGTTTCGAAATATATACAACATAAATTCAACCCAACCTAGGGAATCGAGGAATGGATCGCATGGAGGAGCAGGATGTTTAGAGTGCGATGGCATCGCCTGTTACGTTCGTTTCTTCGGAAAAAAGCCTCACCGGTAGACCACTTCTTGAAGAGATTTCAAACCAATCGAAAGCGGCCTGACACCGAATCGTTCTGGTCGCAGATGTCCGGAAAGTACCTACTCCTGACCGACACCATGGGATCTGGTTTGCTTATGGGCATCGGAGACGCTGTCGCCCAGTACTCCGAGCGATTAGCGGAGAACAAATCCTTTGATTATTCCCGTTCCAGAAGCATGGTAATAACCGGCTTGATGATAGGGCCAGTACAGCATGGATTTTACTGTTTACTGGATCGGATATTTATTGGCAATACGGGACTGGTAATTCTTCAAAAGTTGCTGGCGGATCAGTTGATAATGTCGCCCGTCTATATCGGTCTGTTCTTTTACCTTACTAGCTTGCTGGAGGGGCTAAGCATTAAGGAAACCAATGCCCAGCTGTCGGAAAAGTTCTTCTATACCTGGGCCATCGACTGCTGCTTTTTCCCGGCTTTGCAGTTTCTGAATTTCCGCTACCTTCCTGAAATGTATCGTGTGATCTTCATAAATCTGGTAAATTGTTTATACATAGTGATGCTATCCTATATCAAACACAGCTCGAAATCAGGACAAAGCTAGGACAAAAATGTAGTATTTCTGTCATGTTTCCGTTAAATTATAATGAAATAGAACATTGAAACTCGGCCCAATGAGAGATTTAGGTTTTTTTCTATTAAAACATTAACATTAACAATCAAGACTTTAGTAGAACTTTAAGGTACCAAAATGTGTTTGAAAATAACAGCAAAATCGGCCCTAAAGTCTATCGATAATCGATTGTCACCGAGCAGCTGTTAGCTTAACGTCAAATGCTTAGTGTCAAAGAACTTTCGTAACGTAACTGAAACTCACGGAAGAAACACAACACACGAGACATTAAATCAAAATTCCTGCGGTTGCCGCGATGTTGAGCATTCGCTGCCTGCGGCAGCTAGACGGGCCCCACCTCCGCCCCGTGCTCAGCCTAGTCCGGAAGCCCAATGGGATTGCTCAAAGGAATTTCACGGCTCTATGCCGCGCCAGAAGTGGTCACGTAATAGCTCCGCTCAGGCAGGGACTAAGATTGGGTCATGGCAAGGGGGAGACGAAGGGCGGAGCCCTGAGCTTCATACTCATGCGCTGGACGAAGATAGCGTGGAGCAACATGTTTGGTAAATACTTGCTGGTGACGAATGTGGTGGGATCCGGCCTGCTGATGGTCGTCGGCGATGTGATTGCCCAGGAGTACGAGTACCGGCGGGGCTTGCGGCAGCAGGATCGCTACGACACTGGTCGAATGTACCGGATGTTTGTGGCTGGCGCTCTGCAGGGACCGCTCCATCATCACGTTTACAACTGGATGGACAGGGTAATGCCAGCCCGCTCGATGAAGAACATCGCGAAGAAGATCCTCATTGATCAGCTGGTGATGTCTCCTGCCTGCATTTTCATATTCTTCTACACCATCTGCTATCTGGAAGGCCAAAATCTGGAGGACACCAACAAGGAGCTGATTAGCAAGTTCCCCTACGTCTACATGCTGGACTGGTTAACATGGCCGGCGGCACAGTATGTAAACTTTCGCTATCTGGATACCAAATATAGGGTAACCTTCGTCAACATCTGCACCGCCGTCTACAATGTCCTCATGTCCTACATGAAGCATGACTTTGGGCTCCATCTGCCGCTGGAAAACCAGCTAATGGAGTCGACGAGCAGCAAGGGCAAGAGCACCTTCTCAGACAAGACAACCACTCCCACCGAAAACCAGGCCACTGATAATTTACCCGTGCAAGCACCGAGAACCTAACCACGGGACATGCGAAATATTGTGATAAAAGAATGAAAACTTAGTTACCTATTAATATGCACATATTTTGGTATTAATAATTGGAAAAGAAGAGGCTCTCAGTATGAATATAAATTGATATATGGTACCACAGTGAACTTGATCATGTCTATAAATATATTATAAACTCTTAAGATAGAACAATTTAAAGCATTTTAGTGGAATTTGTTTTAGGAAAAATGCCAATGATGAAGCTTTTAATTGTTAACCTTTACAATTTCAACAAAAGCTCGCAAGGAATCAAAAATCTACAAAGTGAGCCACCAGTGATCCATTTTTTGTCTTGTTTTCGGATCTCAAACGATAGTAACCCATTTAAGTTACGGGTAACTCTCGTTTTTGGACCCCTGGATTATTAAGTAAAATAAACAAATGTAAAAACTAAGTTACCCTAAAATGAACATATCAAATAATGACCTCGATGTTGTTTTGTTATCGCGTTTAAGTGTTAGCTTAATTGATAAAGTAGTAAATAAGCTTTCTAGTCTTTAATATTTAAGTAAACTCTGTTGTCTGCACTATTTAATACCTTTATAAGACGAAAAGTGGTTTAAATAAATGAAAATACACAAGGAAAATTTTAAAAAAGACTGATATATTATCATCAAAATACTTATTTACAATGCTTTTCATATCAGGGTTAATCTAAGTAATCAGTTGGCTCAGATTAATTGAACCTTAGTACTGAGACAACGAAAATCCGCAGTCACAATTGTTGTGTTGATAATTTTCTTTGAAATTTATATTATAAAAAACCCTAGTATATTATAGTTTATATTAAACCCTCTCTTGATCACTAATGCCACGAAAAGATTACTTGATTACAATCGTCTCGACGGGCTGAGTGATCCCAAAGATGTGCTGGGCCAGCATCAAGTGCTCCTGGCTGATGAAGTTTGCCAACAAAGTAATCACATTCTCATTGCAGCGGCCAATCTGCTGGCGGGTAATGGCCTTGAACTCATCCCTGGCTCCTTTGTCCGCTCCCCGAGTACCAATTCGCCGGGTCTGAGCGCCACTTGCACCAGGAGTGACCGCGGTGGGAGCTCCGCTGGAGCCACTAGTGGGCGGCGAGCTGGTCAATTCAAAATTGTCCTCCTGCTGAGAGTTCCAGATGAACGAAAGTTCCTCAATCACATCAATGGCTATTATATAGGTGGATAGGGTGCGTAGATTGAACGATTTGCGTTGCTTGATCACGTTAAAAATCTGCTGGGTGAGTAGGACATCGTTGAGAAGATTCAACTGCTGGAGCACCAAGAGATCGCAAATCAAACGATCCGGGCAGCCGGGCTCGTAAACTTTTCGGCTGAGCCGACTGATGATGGCGCCCACGCAATATTGAACCAAGGCGGAACGGGTGAGGGGAAGGAAGACCATGTGGCGGTGGCTCTTCAGCGCCATGTTGTCCAGGAGCTGGCCCTGGGTGGCGGGCAGCTCGGATAGGATCTTGAGAATGCACTGAAAGCCCTGGAGCTAAATAAACAATAATAATAATTCGAAATAAATGAGAATTTATAAATACAAATTCAACTTACAGTCATGCTTCCTTGCATTAGATTTAGACTCAGGATCTGCAGGCTCTGCACCAGGCTGCTTTGCGGGGTCATGTCGGACATGAGCTTGTTGGCCTCATCCCTGTGCCCAAAGTAAATGGCCAAATCGAAGAGAAACCTTGAAATCCAGGGCGCCAGCGGAAGGGCCAGCATTAGTTGGCTGAAATCCCTCTGAAACTGATCCGTATTCAAAAGCTGCCAGCACTGGGCGGCATGCAAAAACGCCTTGGATAGCTCTGGACTGAGGGGAGTTGTCAGCGAGAACTTTGGTGGCTCCATGCTGGGAACTTCAGAGCCATCCCCATCGGGTGTCCACTCCATGAAACCCTCCACCAGAACGTGACTGACATCGGCATCCTCAATTCGTAGCTTACAGTTCCGTATGTAGCCGTGCAGCGAGTAAATAAACAGGGTCGTGGCATAGAATAGGACTTGCGAGCTGCCGGCGGGACTACCGGAGAGTATGTCCACCAGCTTCTCCCAGTAAACGTTCTGATTCACATGCTTACTGAACGGCAAAAACGGTTCCCAACCCATCATCTGGCCGCAGATCATCAAAACCTTGAAAATGTTCTTCCAGGCATCCGCCGTGTCCGACTCGTCCATGATCTGGCGCAGATAATACTCCAGGGAACTGGTATACAGCCTGCAGGCCAGAGCTGGCGACAATTCTGGCGGTTTATTCTGTATCATGGGCAGGACCTCCTCCACCAGTATCCTCTGATACAGATCCGGATCCGTTTTCATGCCCTCGGCCAGCATTTCTAGCAGTCTGGGCGCCTGTGTTACGGCCGACTTGGGGAACTTGTTGAACATCAGCAAATAGATATAGATGCACTGCTCCAGATTGTCGCCACTGTGGTTAATGGTGTGCATGAATATGTTGTGCTGAACCTCGGGCGTCAAGTGCTTGTACATCTTCACATAAAAGTCCTGTTCCGGCGTATTTTCATTCTCGTTTCTCAGGGCATTGGTTAGCGAATTGATTTCCTGCCACAGTTCCGAATTTTGATTCGGGAAATTTGTGGCGCTATAAAGGATGTGATCTATCGTTTACCATTAACTATATAATTTAACTTATAATTAAGCTTACATGACGCTAAAACACTTGGCAGCCTCCTCGTAGTTCTTGCCATCGCGCTCTAGTAGGTAGGCCTCGTATTGCACATTAAAGGCAGCTGGATATAGCGTCTTGGCCGTGATTATCCAGGCTTTGGCGGCGCAAGGATCGCTTTTCCGCAGGCTCTGGGCCTGCTTGACCATGTACAATTCATTTTCCTCGCTGGAATTTGTCATTTTTTGCTGAAATTCAACAAAACATTACCGGCAGCTGGTCCACTCACAATGCTATCGATAGATCAGTTTTACATTATCGATGGTTCGATGTCGATAGGCAGGCAGCTTATCGGAAAGTAAGCGCAAAAATTTGAAATCAGTGTTGGTAGTTAACAAGTATTTATTTAGGCAATAAAAGCTACAAATAATGCGAAATGATATGTTAAATTAGTGGCTTTGTGTTGGTGCTGGACTGGGGTGGATGGGCTGTGTTTGGTGTTACTAAGTCTTGGACTTTTTGTGTCGTCTGAAAACAGAGAAAGATGGAAAAAACATGTTATATGGAATGGCAGCAGTAAGAAATTCAACCCTTTCGTTTCTTAAATGAATAGCTTTATTTGAATACTTTCTTTCGTTTTCTCCTCGCACTTCCCTTTATATATATATTGAAATATATAAAGTGTGTGGTTGGTTTGTGTGTGTTTTGCTTTGATTTGTTTCAGTGTATGGTGTGTGGTGTACTTAGCCAAACGTTCAGTTAACTAGGGCATTACTATATAGGTATTGTTCATGTTACGTTTACTGTTAAATATAATTAATATAAATATGCATTTTTCGTTTATAAGTTATCATTGCGTCCGTCCTTCTTCGCTCTCATCCGATTTCATCGTTTTTGTGGTTGCTTTCTTGAATTTTTGTTTTTCCTCTAAAATGTGGTTTACACATATAAAAAATAATCCTTGTCGCAATCTCTTATAAATATGTTTTTTGGGGGGGATATTATTAGGTCTATGGGCTACACACTTACTCTTCTAAGGGGGAAAACCATTGAATAGTTTCCCGCTTTTGTTTTCCCCCCGCGGTTTTAAATACAAAATGCAATTAAATTAAACACCTATACTTCGCTTAGCTTGGCTAAAGCTTCTGTTCAAATCAATTAACCAAGTCCAAGGTTATAATTTTGAAAACAATCACTTTATTTTTGATTTCCAGATGGTTTTAAACACACAAAAACACGCATAAAATGAAACGTTTTTTGATTATCGAACTCCTTCAAATGACTTAAACGAGGTATAGGTGCATGTTGTGCTATATTATTGCTTTAAACAATGCCAGTAATTGCTGTATTAGCAACAATTCTTGATTATAATCAGCGGAAGGAGCGTATGGGGCGTTGCAAAGTAAGATTATAGAGACACTTTCTTTCATACAATTCTCCAATTTTGGCACATTGTGCTGCAAACTTTATATTTTTTCGTTCAACAAGTGTGTGTGTGTTTTCGTTTCTTTCGTTCATCATAAATAAATACACATAAAAATATGCTATAAGAAATTGCTGTACAACAACAAGTGAAGCGTGTGTATGTGTGTGGGGGAGGGAATTTTTGTTATATTTCATGATCAAAACTTTATTGCATAGCGAGCGAGCTGGGTTGAAGAATATTTGCATTTCGTCGATCGGTTAATCATCATTTTTTTTTCAGAGTGTAGAAAATATAAATTTGTTCTAAAAGTGTCAGTCTATTGCGCAAAATCTACTTTTTGTCGTGATTTCTACCCGATTTATCGATTAGTTTAAGGTTGCGTGTTCTTGTTTCTTTTTCTTTTCTTTTCTTCGTTTATATATATATAAAAATTCCCTAATATTTATGCATCTTGTATCATCGCTGCCTCCTCCATCACATCCAACACTCGTCCCACACATTAGATGTGGGGATGGATGGATCGGATCGGATCGATCAGGAAATCCTACCGGCAACTAAATACGTCATAATACAGCTATTGCTACGACAGTTAAGTCGCTACGACTACTACTTAGTGGCTACGGCGGGGTCACTTAACCTAGCTTTGTGTATGCGTACGCGCAGATAACGCCCACCACAACACCAGCGGCAATATATGTGAGTAATGACCTTCGTTTCTTTGCCGCCACCTGGCTATCCTCGCTCTCCCTTTGCTTCCTTTTAATGTCGTTGACCTTCTGCTCCAGACTGGCCTGATACTCGTTGCGTTTCCGCCGCTTCAGCTCGTTTTCGGGACTAAAAAATGAAAGCAAATTGATGATGAAAGGTTTGTAATATGAATTTAAGGATTTTTATTACCTGGCTGGTAGCTGCTGGCCTGGAATTGTATCGATGCCATTGGCCTTGCTGATCTGTTCAGCGACTGGCGCTGGCTTCTCATTGTTGGCATTCACATCGTCGGCCTGTGTCGTCGTCGTTGTTGGGATGGGCACATGTCCATTCACAGGCTCCGTATCGTGATTGTCGTTGTTAATCGTCTCGTATTCCTCCTCCTCCACATCCTCGTCATCGTCCTCGATGTCTTCCAGCGAGTAGTCGTCGTCATCGTCGTCGTCCTCCTCATCGCTATCCGAATCGTTGGCATTCCTAACCGAGGGCAGCGGCGGCAAGGGTCGCAGGCGATCGGCCACCTCGCAATCGCGTATGATGTCGTGCGGATGATTGATGATGTTGTTCAGGGCATCCTTGCTGCTCAGCTCACCGATAAAATCTCCAGCCGCCGCTGCACCATTGGCCTGGGCAGCGCGCATATCCAGCGAGAGGACGCCGCCAGAGTTGGGGGCCAGTGGCAGGATGAGCGATTGAACGCGCGGCGGCAGCGGTGGCGGGAGCTCGTCCAGTGTGTGATTAGAGTCTGTGTCATTGCTGATTGTCGGCTCCTCAGCGTCGAGGAAGGTCTGAGAAAGTTACAAGTTAGAGTACACAAATATGATTAGTTTCGTGCCAAGGCCACAGGTGTGCCACAGAAATCTCTACCAACCGAAAAGCAATGTCATCTCCTGCTTCAATGCATCAGGGGTAATGGCAAAATAAATTTAGGTTTTTAAAGTATTAAATTTTAGTAATTTATTAACGCATTTTGGAATAGAATAACTTGTTAATAACAGTAAGAAAGGGTGACCGACGACCCCTTTGATCACAGATTGTTTTTGCTTGAAGAAAACATTAAACCATAAAAGACTAGCGAATGAAATCTCTAGAAACTAATACGGTGACAGTCTCTATAGATTGCCGTGACACCCCCATTCTTGTTTTTTCTTCATCATTGCAAACGGCGCCGCTTGACAGCGGAACTCCTTAAACGTCTTCCAATACATACGGGATCGTGCAGCTTCTGTATGCCCTCGATGATGGCCTGGTAGGAGAAGTCCAGCTGGTCGGCGGTCTGAATCAAACCCATGCGATAGCTGCGCAGCTCGCACAGCACCTTGGACACATTGCATTCGCCATACTGATCGATCAGCACCAGGCAGCAGTCCACCAGGCAAAAGGTACCCGATCTTCCTATGCCGGCACTGCAGTGCACCACCGCCGGTCCCACGTCGCGGCTGAGGCAGCCCGAGTCGCGGACTTGCTGCAAGAACTTGAGGAATGCATCCGGCGAGCCGGGTATGCCAAAGTCTGGCCATGTTGTGTAGTGAAACTGCAACACTTCGCGGCTCTGCTGCGTTTCGAGATCGGTTAATCTGCAAATGATTAGTTGTAATTAATATTATTCACAATTATTCAGTTATTATTTATTTAAGCTGGAAACAAATCGATTCTGAATGCAACGATTATATCGATTATTTAGAAAATAACATCGTTTAAATCGAAAACTGAATTGTTTATTTTTGAAATCAACGAGATAAATATTAAAAAAAAGAAATAAATTTCTACGAATTAAATAATGAAAAATGAAGGTTAAATAACATAACACAAACAAAATTAAACGTTCAAAAACTTAAAAAAAAAAAATTAAAATCGAATAAAAAATCGAACTTCAGTCGAAAATATAATTGATTATTTTTAAATCAATAAGATCGTATAAAAAAATTAAATAAAATGTCTATAAATTAAAAAAATGGTTCAAAAACATAAAAAAAAAAAAAATAATAATAGTTCGATAACACAAAAAAAATCCTAAATATATTAAAAATAAACAAATTAATCATTTACCACTGATTCTTGTAGACAAAAACTATCTTATTTACAGTTTCAGGTATATCGATTATTTCAAAACCAAATTAATAAATCGACAAAAATAGAAGGATCGATGTAATCAATGTTGACATCTACTTTTCCCCAGCTCTATTATTTATAGGCTAAGCTTCGACTCACTTGAACCACCGCCGCACAAAGTTCTGGTAGGTTTCGCAGCGCACCAGCTCCACGGTGAGCTTGACATGCGGTAGCTTCAAAGCCTTGTCTGCTCCCAGTTCGTTGGGCCAGTACAGGTGGCACTTGATCTGCTTCTTCTCCATCAGCTTGTTGAGCATCAGAATGGCGCTGGACGCCTGCTCCCAGACCATTAGCCAGAAGTGACCCACTGTATCCTCCAGGGGTCCCTGTGTCAATATATACTGACGAGCGGCGCGCTCCATCTGAAATGCGGGGGAGACAACGGGCAAAAATGTAAATGGGAATTTCAGATTGACAAGCCATTTATACTTGACCCACCTTAACCAGATTGGCATTAATGTAGTCAACGCTGCCGCGCTTTAAGACGATGCGCGAATGATCGTATGGATTCACATCCCGATAACGATTCAGGCCGCGGTTCTGGTGGCGTTCCGATTCCGAAGTGCTGAACTGTTGCTCCTTCGCCTCTCTATCGCATTTCTCACAAATTTCCTGGAATTGAAAGAAAGGTCATTAGTCCAAGCGAAAGCAGCTCAATTAATGAAACTGATAGAGACCCAACGGCATAAGCCAGCGATTTCTGGCACTTATCAGTACAAATTTGTTGACAATGAATGTGAATTTGTTGTGAATTTATTTAAGCAAAATATCAATGCAAAACGGCGAGTGTATAGTTTTTAATCAGACAGTTCTAGGAAAAGGAAACTTTGAAACAAATGACCCATTAACAGGCTACTTAAAAGTTTATTCATTCTGGGAATTAAGTTCGCTGGAAATACGCTTTAAAAGGCGTCTAAAAGTGCTGATTAGGAAAAGCACTAAGGAAAAATTTGATATTTTTACAAATCGATATTCGGTTTGATAAAAAAATTAAATAAACTTTTTTCATATACTGTTCGATTAATATAGATAATTTGACGTAGATCTGAAAATAAATCGATTTTCAATGAACAAATTTCTTTAAAATACAAGGATATCGATTATAATCGATTAAAATCGATATATGGATTTAGATCACCCATTGGAATCCAGAATACCAAATTTCGGAATTTGGGGAATACGAGCACAAATTATAATTAAAAAATAGATTCTGAATATTTAACGCAATGTATTTATTGCCTAATTAAAAAAAAAACGATTAATCTATTTGGACGATAAAGTGCGATATATTTCATTATTTATATCTTGGATACTAATACCTTAAGAAGCTTTAAGTCAATAGCATTTAAATACAAATATAAATGTAACAAATCAAGCATGACTCATCGCATTCCACACCGATTTTTGTTTACAAATATAGGCATAGGCCTAAAAATAAGATAACACACTCCCACAAAACCATCCATAAGGAATGCTTTACTAATACATCATTTATGTTCTCCGGAAATAAGATATAACCAATGACATTTCTAAATTCTGCTTAAGAAAACATATTATTTGGCTGACTTTAGCAGAAATTCGCCGTAAACAAGTCGTAAGGGAAATATTTGCTTATGAGTAGGCCCCTCTACTCTGAGGTGGCAAATTCTACGCATTATTATAATTTCCAATAATTTTCCCACACGCTGAGAAATACCAATTGCAGAGGATAACATTTTCTATGAAATCGAAGGCCTTTTTGTCATTGGGGGTTGCCCCATTTTCGACCCTGACTCACCACCACCACCGCCACCTGTCCCCACTCACACGACGGGTTTCTTTTGTAGCTTTTCCCGGAGGTAGGTAAGTGGGTTGCCAAACCTACGGCGGCAGAGGAACCTGGGTTGTTCCTCGATGGGAGTGAACCCAAGCCCAACACCACCCAGCTGGCAAACCGGGCGTGACTAATTAGCCAAGCAGCAACGCCGTCCGCTGGCTGTCGTTAATGGCATTATCTTGGGCATGACCGTTGCCGTTGTTGCCGGCATTATCAGCCGAATGTATGTATAATTGCTGGCACAGCTGTATAATGGCCACGGACAATCGAACCTAACCGAACCGAACCGAACACCCAACAAGGTCAATGGCGCCAAATCTGACACGATGACAGTTACTCCTCAAGCTCAGATTTTGGCCACCGGATATATTGAATCACATGCTTAGTAAAGGATGAGTAACAGCGATCAAAAGCCGGGTTTTATACTGTTTCTCCTGCTGATATTGCAGCAGCTTTCGTTGATTAAAAAATCAGTTGTTAATTGTCAGTGTTCCGTCATGATTCAAAAGTGAATCACACAGAGACACAGTCAGTTGCAGAGTTCGAAAATGCAAATAATATTGGACGACGCTTCTCGTCTTTGTTATGAAATCACCCGCAACAGGCGACTTCTTACGCAATCTCCAAAGACGAAATCTTTGTCAAGGGGCAATGTCTGATAAGGCGGGAAATTTAAAGAGAAATGTTATTTGGCAATTCTTTGCGATCTGTGGATTGCCCTTCTCCCCAATCACAATAATTTATAATTATTCTTTGGAAATGGAAAGTAAACCTGAATAGAATTTAGCAGATTCCATAGAAATCTTGCTATCAATTATTTGACGTGTGTGGATTATTTATTAGCTTGTCACGTGAAAATATTTATAGATTATATTCTGGGGCATTCTCGGGTATTTAATTCAAATATTTTCAAACTGATAAGAAGAGCTTTGTTATGTTCTTTGGTGTTTTTGTTTGGAAAAGGGGGATTACTCTAGTTTATTTCCCATTACTTAATATGTGAGATAAGAACAGTTAGCACGCTTTCTTTACTTAATGAACCCAAGGAAATAATACACTTTTATATGAATATTTGTATTAACTTTTTTTTATCCAAGCTAAAATAATTACAATCCCAACCAACAAATGGTTCTTCATTCACCTACTCAGCTCCTAAGTAATATCATATTTCCCCAACTGGCAAACTGCTATGTTATTTTATGCTCTGTGGTTATCCAGGTGACCCTTCTAAGCTGTATGGTGAAATCTTCTGCAAGGTGAGTGAGTGGAGCAGCGGATCATCATCATCAACTTGGGGGCTTGAATTTCCAAAGCGTGTCATGCAAACAGTTTGATTATTTCGCTTTGCATTGCAGCGCTTGAAGAATAATAACAAAAACATTGCATGCAGGCCGCCGAGCATAATTGCGCAAAAGAGGAGGTTGTCATAATAGAACGGAACGGAATAGAGCGAGTTTGGAGTGGGCAGGATGGAGATCCACAGAAGAAGCTAGGTGTAAACTGATAAGCATGAGGGGATGGTGGCTTGGATGAGAAGACCCGCTAACGGGAGTGCGTTCGATGGAAATGATTACACATTCAAGTGCGCAAAAAGCATAACAAAACAAAACCTATCCCCAATGCGTCATTGCAGTGAAACATAGCTAAGTGAAATTATAAAAATATTTTTAATTAATTTAAATATATGGATTACGGTTTAGCTTTAATCAATATTCTTAAGAATTTTTAAATATTTCAATTCTTAAGAAAGTCTCTTGATCATTTATAAAATTCTTTGAATTGCATTATGGTAGGTTTAAGCGTTTCAACGGAAAAATTCCTTATTTTTTCCACTTTAATATTAACCTTATTAAGAATATATAGAATATATTCTTTTTAAAAAGCAATGTTTTAAAATTCTTGAAAATAAATACAAAACTAATATAACGCTACTGAAACAAAGTGTTAAACATACGGAAGTTCCACTGTAGCAACCGCAACAATGATTCATTTCAACAACTTGTTGAAGAACTATTGAGTTAGGTCGAAAACGGTGTTGTGAAATTCCTGCTTTAAGCCTCTAAAATGTAATTAAGGAGATAGTGGGATATACTATGTTTTATGGGTTAACTAAGAGGTACTTTTTCAAGAACATCCCAGGAAATTCAACATAACAACCCTTGGTCTGCTCCAACTTCAATAGAAATACCTGTGCACAGAAAATTTTCCAAGCCAAAAGCGACATTTAATTGTGAGCAAACAGACTCCTCTTCCTCAGTTTTGTTGGAAAATTAGATTATCCTCGGCAACGGCGACGAACGGGCACAAAGGATGCGATGCCAGGCCAGAGCGGAGCGGTCCGAAAACCAAGATACACAACGCAACGCAACGCACACTGTCATCCTAACTGCGGAGTGAAATTCCGTGAAATCCCAATTCAAGTGAGTGGCAAATGGAACAAGACGCAGGAGGAGGTGGCAGCTGAGGAGGAGGAGGAGGAGCAGCTAAAGACACAGTTCGCCGGAACTGGCTATAAAGCAGAAACTGCCAGCCAGCCAACCCAGCTCGGATGAAGATGAAGAGGCAGAGGAAGAGGAAGAGAGCGGTGAAGGAGGAGGATACCGACAGGCAACAAGAAACCCAAAGCGAGACTCAAAAAACCAGACGCATGCCCTTTGTGCCCCTGTGTGCGTGAGTCTCCTCTGTGCGCCTGTGTGTGTGATTGTGTTTGTGTAGTTCTTAAGTGGCAGCCACTGTCACCCCTCGGCGATTTATTTTGGTTTTTTTTCCCCCAAGTCGATAGGGGGTTGGCAAGGGGGGAGCTGGAGAAGCGCCGCAATCACAACAAACAGCATTCCCAGGAATTCTATCCAATTTTATTCTGCCAAACGAATTCGCGGAAGAGGTACGCTCTAGCGATAGTCAAAGGAAATCGCTTTTTGGGGAAAGGTAGGCGACCGACCGAGCGAGCGAGCATAAATATGCCAAATACATACAAGAGTCGCTCCGTGTATGTGAGAATGCAAAGTAAAGTGCAGCAGGTGAGCGAGACTCGGTGTGCATGTGTGCATGCGAGTGTGTTTCGGTGTTGGTGAGAATCTGTTGGTACATTATTTTTGTTTTTTTTTCGGCCAAAGCCTGGCTGGTGACCACTTATAAGCCAGCAAGAGGAACAACAACAACAACAACGGCGAGAACAAGAACACAGTGGGGCCCACACAAATACACCGAAATATACACGAACACGCTCACAAACACACACACACACACCTACGGCTGAGAGTCCCGCTGTGCGTGTATTGGTGGTGGAGGCATCTGCAGAAGCCTTTTGCGCACTCATCACATTTTCGTGGAAATCCAAAAGCAGGAGCAGCCGAAAGGTGTGCGTGCGTGCGTATGTGGGTGTATCGCTTCAAGTCCTGGCATTTTCCGCCTTCGCACATTGTCGTTTTTCATTGCAATTGCAGTCCCGACGGGTCGTTGTAGTTGTTGTTGTCATTTACCTTGTAGTAGCGCGGCCACACAGGCTTTTTACTGTGGTATTCCGCCTCGATTTTCTGTCGGGCGGCCGCATTGTCCACCGAAATCGCCGCCGGCGACGACCCACTCGTTTTCTGATCACTCATTGTGCACTGTTTCCTGCGTTTTGCTTGCGATTTAATAACTTTTAATTTGGAGTTAATCACGGCGTTGACGTTTGAGATGGCACCGACTTGTGAATTTTGGCCCAAATATCGAAATCGCGATATTTTTAATTGATATTTTTCGATATCTTCCCCCTGGTCACTCTGAATCAAGGCAAAATGTCAAAACAAAGTTTTACATGTAGAATGTTAAATGTAAGTAAAACAGTCTGGTACTTTTGGTCGCTGGGACTCAAAAGTCTGGCAACGCTGGTAGCGGGGACTCAAAAGTCTGGCAACGCTGGTAGCTGGGACCGAAAAGTCTGGCAACGCTGGTAGCTGGAACATAAAGCGTTGCCAGACTTTTGAGTCCCAGCTACCAGCGTTGCCAGACTTTTTGAGTCCCAGCTACCAGAGTTGCCAGACTTTTGAGTCCCCGCTACCAGCGTTGCCAGACTTTTGAGTCCCAGCGACCAAAAGTACCAGACTGTTTTACTTACATTTAACATTCTACATGTAAAACTTTGTCTGGCAGCACTGTGGGCGCTCAAATGCTATCGTTATCGGCTAATTGGTAATTTGGTGATGCAAAAACATCGATAGCCAGTTTTTGCATCCCTACCGCAGCCAACTTCAAGTCGAAGCCAAGTCAAAATAACGCGCAAAATTATATAAATTTTCAATTGAAGACGATTCAACGTTCACAATGTCGCACCACATGCCCCGGCGGACCAGCGAGTTTCGCGAGAGTGCTCTGGAGGACAACAGCGTGGCCGACAGACGCCAACAAAGATCCACCATGCGCAGCGGAGTCACACCGACTCCCAAATCCCACCAGAAGTTGAACCTGAGACCATCGCAGAGCCGTATTTCGCAGCCCCTGTACTTGGATCGAGATCGGGCCAGCCAGATGGCGGTGACCCCCAAGCCCAGTCTGCGACGCCCCATGTTCTCCTCCGTGGAGCGTGCGGTGGCCCTCCACTCGGACAAGAAGTGGGTGGCCGAGAGGTCGCAGCAAATCTTCGCGTACCTGCGCGACGTGTCCAGCAACCCAACCCACAGCCTGGACATCAACAGGATCAACAGTCTGCGCCAAATGACCATCAAGGAGTTTGTGGGCATAATTAATCACTTTTTCCACCAAATCTTCGGCAATCGGGTAACCGTGGGCCACAACCATGTAGAGGACATTACGGCCGCCATGCAGAAGCTGAATTATCCTCACCAGATGGGTAAATCGTGGCTTATGTCGCCGACTACGCAGCACTCGTTCGGCCATGTGATTGTCTTATTGGACTTCCTTATGGACTTTGCGCCATCCTCGGAGGAGCTGGACACTGAATTTTCGTTCACAGACACCTCGTATCAGCACAGCGTGGCCAGCGAGTCAATCTCCGTGATGTCCACCACGCAAGTTCAACAGGCTCTGCAGCTGGACGAGGAGCTGAACGGCCTGCTCTTTGCCGCCTGCCGGCCATGCATCGTTCTGTGGGATCAGGAGAAGACCGAGGAGGAGGACAAGATGAAGACCAAGACCAGCGAGCTGATACTATCCAAGAAGTACGATCTGGAGAACCTGCAAGCCCTGGAGCAGGAGATCAACAACCTGCAAGTGAAGAATCTGAAACTTAAAGAGCAGCTAAGCAGCGATAACGGGAATCTAAACCAACTGAAGCAGCTTACACAGGAGCAGGATCTCTTGGCCAAAGACTTGGCTGCCAGCCAGAAGGAACTGGCCCACCAAATGGACCATAACGCCAAGTTAACCGCCAAGGCCAATGAATACCAGACAGAGTTCGAGCGTCAGGTGGAGTACGAGCGACGTCTGCAGCAGAACGTGAAGAACCAAAAGTACAACATTAAGCAGCTCAAGGAGCTGCAGACGCAAGCCAGCGACCTGGTGAACCATTCCAAGGCGTACGAACGACAGGTGGAGAACGTCTCGGACGCGGAGCTCAACCAGCAGGTGATGCTGGCCCGGGCCAAGCAAAAGCAACTGGACTCGGTGGTGGCCTACAACCGGAATGTCCATAAACTGACCATAGACTCTGTGATCTGCCAATTGAAGCGAGACGGCGGCCAGCAATTGAACCTAGCCCTGCCGCTGCAGCCTACACTGTCGGACATCGACGAACGTGTTCAGTGTCTGGAGGTGCTGGGCAAGCTTCTGCAGCACCAGCGTCGTCTCACGGACGAGCGGCGTCAGCAGCTGGAGCAGCAAAAGGAAACCTTAGCGGGCGAGGAAATCAAAATATACAAGCGTGTTGAGTCTCTAAATTCGGAGTTGGCCGCCTTGAGGCAGCACCGCTCCAAACTGGAAGTCAGCCACAAGACCAAGTTGGACGCCTTGCTGCAGCATCAGCAGCAGCTGCTGGAAAAGGACTTGGCGCTGCGGGTCCAGCTGGAGGAGCAGCAGAAGGTGTGCGAGACATTGTCGCAGAAACTGGCGGACTTGGAGGCTCGCAATGAAGAGATCATGACCTCGGCTGAACGGTATCAGGAGGAGGATCTGCAGGCTCGAAATGCCCGCTGCGATGAGGTGGAGAAAAAACTGAAGGAAGCTAAAAACGAGCTGGAGGCCTTTAATGTCACGCTCGCCACCAATAAGGCTAAGCAGGAGCTGGCCAAGGAGGAGTTGGACTCACTCCCAATGCCATCGTTTGAGCCAGTGGTGGAAGCTATTAATAAACTTTGTTTTTAACCATATATTATTTATTATTAATAAACTAATTATTTATTTGTGCATTGAATTTAGCGTTAATGGCGAAAATTGCATTATTTTAAATTTTCAGATGGGTGTAGTTGCTTTGGATTGCCAGTATTGCAGCAAACCTGGCAGCGTTCGTTAAAACGACTTTTTTAAGCACTTTTTCACGATTTTTTGTGTGCTTTTCAGGAAAATGGCTTGAAAACTCAAAAGGTTTTAAAAGCGGCGCTGCAATTTCCTCGCCCAGTCTGGCAGTTCCAATTTTCTAATATTTGTTATCGGAAATGTTATCGTGCAGCAGCCCTCACTAATATTGTTACTTAATTAATTAAACTAAAATAAAATGATTACCCGCGTGTTCCGCTTGGTCCGCGATCAGCGCCTCAGTGTTCCCGTGCTGCGCTGCTTCCACCACGAGTTCTCCAAGCCGGAGCCAAAAACCCCAGCCGCCAAGGCCGAGGAAAAGCCCACCAATCCCTTCCAGAATGTGCCGGGCGGCGTCGTGCAGAGCAAATATAAGATATTCCGCGATGATGAAGCCACAGAGATCTTTGATGTGGAGGAGGCACGCTACCAGGAGCAGCAGCTTCCAAGTGAACCCGATGAGCAGCAGGATCAGTACTATGGCTTAAACCTAAAGCGTAAGCGGTAGAAGATCTAACACCTAAAGTAGGAGGACTCAACGCTTTTCTTTGACAGGTGGTGTTCGCGGTGTGTTCGATATTGAGGACTTGGTGGAGCTGTTGCGGAAAGAGAACGTAGACGACATATTCGTGTGCTATGTGCCCGAGGAGCTGAAATATGTGGATCATCTGGTTGTGTGCAGTGGAAGGAGCTACCGCCACATGCTGTCCACGGCGGAGTTTGTGCGTCGCATGTTCAAGATTAAGCGGAACAAAAGCGACATTCTGCCGCGCATTGAGGGTGATAAGAGTCGGGACTGGATGGCCATGGATTTGGGTTAGTATCAAGGGAGTTACGCTCCCTAAAATCCTAACAAGAATTCTATTAAATAACTCTTTTCATTCGTTAATTTCAGGCAACATAGCTTTGCACATATTTTCGCCCAAGGCTCGCGAGGAATACGACCTGGAATCGCTCTGGGCAATTGGCTCTCAGTACGACCGAGAGAGCCAGAAACCGCATAATCCCTATGGAGATATTTTCATGGCCCCCGTTCCAGCTGCAGTTGCTCCTCCGTCAAATCAGGAAACGTAGAATTCTTTGGCTTTTACTAGTTTAATATATTTACAATTGGCTCACCAGACCACTGTCCCGTCCGTGATCTTTTTGTGAAAATCGTAGAGACTGGGAAAGACATGATCGCGATCGATATCCTCACCGTACTTCCTCACCAAATAAGCATAGCTCTTCTCGTGCACCAGGGCCGAGTGCCAGCCCAGCTCCTTGGCGGCTAGATAATCGGTGGTGGGTCCATCGCCTATATGAAGACACTCCTCCGGCTGGAGATTCTTCAGGCCCGCCTTCTCCATGGCCTGGTGAAAGATCTCTGCCGAGGGCTTCTCCGCCTTGACCTCGTACGAGGTCAGGGCAAAGTCCAGATACTGATCCAGCTTGGTGTTTTGGAGCAGTGCCGGCAGACGCGGATCAAAGTTGGCTATCACGCCCAGCTTACACTTATCCGGTTTGAACTCCTTGCGTAGCTGCTGCAGTAGCTCAACGCTGCCATTGCAGGGCTGCCAGCAAATGGAGGTCTTGTAGAGCTCAATCAGATGATTGGAGAAGTTGTGCAGCTTGTCATCGGGTATGGCGGCTCCGCTGTCCGCAAAGGTGCCTGTAAAGAGAGAGTTACGTAAATTTAGATTCCCTATTTAAATCTTAAAATAAACCAAGGTCAGCTTTATTCCAGATTACCACCAATTTGCAAGGTACATATATTAAATTTGGTTTAAGGTCGATTGCGGCCAAAGGAGATAAGCCTCTTTATGTTTTTTGAAGATAATTTGAATAGTATTTGAAAGATTAATTTTCCAATTATTAGAGCTTTTAAATTTCCATAAAAAATACATTTTAGGCTTGCCAAGACGACGGATAACAACAACATTTATTAGTTGCACTTTGGAACAAGCTAAAATTGTTTATCACCCGGCTGGCCGGGCTGTGAAGACAAACACTAGACCAGAGGCCCTCACCTGCTATCAGCTTACGCCACCACTGCTGCCACTCGATCTGTGGCTCTGTTTCCCGTCCGAAATTGGGATAATCCCGGTTCATCTTGTACCAGTTGGCCTTGAAATTCTTGGCCAGCTCATTGTTGTCGCAGCGGGCGCCAAAGAGGGCACCAATCTCGCCATACTGCTTGCCGGGCGTTGTCCGGAATTGGAGAAGCGTATTGGTCACGTCAAAGGTGATCAGGCGAAAGCGACTGAGGCTGCGCATCTCGGATGGGGGGGGCTATTGAATCTCAACTGTCGTCGTTGTTTGGTGACCGAGAACTGCCGGCGTACTACGTGAGCTAGTGGCGTTCTGTTATTGTTTTGTACGAAAGTCGATCCGGCTCATTATCAGCTCTCGCAGGCAGCTGCCGCTCGGTTCGGATCGGTTTGGACCTCGGAGCATCGGCGCACACACAATTGTGTTAATTTCTATATCTATTATCGTGGACCCTCGGGGCGGTTATCTCTGGTTACTGCCATTGATATTGGTATATCGATTTGCAATCTGCAGTGATTAGCCTGATATGCAAACATTATTATAAGAGATAAGATCATGTCTCTTATCACGGCTTCTGTTTGTTTTTGTGTTAATTTAAAATGCGCGCGCAAGCAGCAAAAACCTAAGAGGTGGCGACACTTTGCTAGATTAAAGCAATTTTCAAATTATTTATTATAAGTTAATTTTTAATAGTATTTATTTGTTCTTTTTTTATATTTAATAATTTATAATTTTATTTTAAAATGTCTTTAGTTGTTTTCAGTGCTGTCGACAAATACGCCATCTATACAGACTTTATGGCAGCTAAATTATTTGCAGTCCAAAGCGAACAGAGGGCGCCACTACACAATACCTACGCCATTTCGATAATTATCGGTAAACAAAATGGCGGTTTCATGACAGACTTGCGCGAAATTTAAATTGCCATTTGTTTAGTTACTTAAATACTTAAAATTACATTAAAATTACAAACATATACTTAATATATATTTTCAATTTTAAATATAAATTGTAAACTAAATTGAATTAAGTTTATAATAAAATTATTGTTAACGAAAAAACTTTTAGAACTTAATGTAATGTATTTCAATAAGCACCAGACTCTTTTTATATTTATATTGGCCTTTGTAAGTACCCTCTTATTGTGAGCCATAGCTTAAAGCATATGTTTCTGACTTCTATTCATAAATCTTTCAACATCCTTCCATAAACTTGTTGCAATTCCACTCATTTTCGCTATAAATAAATCACAATTTGGCACTGACTACAAAGCCAGCCTTGAGGTCGAATTTCTATGGAAGGGCGAGGGTCGGGTCCCAAAATTCCTCACATTCCGCCTGTCCAGCTTGCCTGTTTGTTTCCTTTCTTATTTCTTGGCAGTTCTTTTTTTTTATTTTGTGCAAAGCCGCATATTTTATTGGCATAACTGAGAGTCTACCAGGAAAGGGAATTTCCGAAAAATGGCCTCTATAGAAATTGATTATGCCATTATAAGCAATTATTGAATACAAAACCTTATACCAATTGTGTTTGTATATATTTTAGTTATTAATGTGGAGTAGATTTTGTAAGAATTAGTACACTTTTTTTATTATTATTTTTTTTTTTTTAAAGAAATAAAATTGTTTTTAATATAATCAGAGGCAATAAAATGCACTCTACCGTATTAAAACTAAAATTAATTGAATACTCACCTAAATGGACACTCAAAACTGGTGTTAACTTTACATAAACGGCAGAACCCGCTGAATGCAAATCCCCTTAACCATCAGCCGAGACCCAGACACCTTTCCCCTACTCTGAGCAACTGTTGTGTCGGACCCGAGACCCTCCTGGAGGTGCAACTCCATTGATTACATTACCGTCCGCCACCTACAAAGCTTGTTTGCTCTGCTCTACGCCACCTTATCGCGCCCCCAAGCCCAACTTGGCTGCTTTGGAAGTTGCAGAAAATAAAAAAAACACACACACATAAACACTTTTGGAAAACAGAAGAAAAAAAAAAAAACAAAAACGGCAAAATTCAGTTACTGTCCAACTTTCAACAAAAACTTTCCCAAGAAAAGTAACCAACCGGAGGCGGCAAGTCAACGACTCCCCTGGAATTTCGTGTTGGCCCTTTTCGAAATGTGTCTGGTCTTGGTTGGTAGTAGTCGGGGCCAAAAGCTCCTCCACCCCCTCAGTCTCCTCATGCTCCCCATGCGCCTCGTCCTCCTCCATGCCACTCGCTCCAACTCCAACTCCAACTTCGGCTGGCTGCCTGACTGCCTTTTAATATTATCTGCACTTTGGGTCTTTGGCTGCCGCCGCTTTTTCAGTTTGTTGTTCTTGTTGTTTTGATTGGTCGTTTTAACCTGTTTGCGAATTTCTACCATGTTAATAAATAATTTTTAGAGGAGTTTTTAGAAGCGGCAGCAGAAGCAAAAGTACCGCACCAGCAGCGCCATCGTCAACACACTGTGAATAAAATGTTGTTTGGTGATAAATAATGGTTATCAAAATGGTTTATTTAAATTTTAAATGTTAAAAAATTAAGCATGTTTCTCAATAATATAATATACATAAGTTTATCTAAAGCTTTAAATGTTTTAAATCAAATTTTTAAGCTTATTTGAAATTGATTTCAAATCCTTAATAATTGTTTATAAGAATCTTGATTTGTTTAATATTTATTAAAAGTCCCAACTTTCACTTTTTCAGTGTAGAGAAGCTGATTCTTGTGTTGCTCCCAGCTTCTCCTGTTTCTCCTGGCACGACAACTCCTCATCTCATCGGAGTCGGGAGTCGGAGTTGGAGTCGTCGTCGTCGGATTAGGTTTGGCTGCTTCTACTGCTTCCACTTCTTTCTGCTCTTGGGTTTCGGTGCTGTTGGGCCTCTCCTGTGTGACTTGGAATGCAGCCAGACGGCCACTGCCTCCTGCCTCCTGCCTCCCCGGCTTGGATTCCCATCCAGCGTTCTGTGCTCGCCCACTAGAATGACCAAAGCCACCTTCTCCTGCTCCACCATGATGGTCGGCACTCTACCTGTGCCATTGCCATCGCATCTCCTTTTTGGCACTGCACCACAAACTGACACCAGAGCTTTGGCAATTGGAGTAGCTGCCAGCAGAAGTCTCAAATTATTGGAAACCAGAGGTCATTAGGTAGCTGGGAGAGCCTAATGAATATGTACAAATGTGTGTCCTAGACCAAACTTAAACTAGGGGTTCTAGGGGAAAATACATGGGATTAGTTATGTTTGCCTTAAACTTTGATTTTTCCAAAAATTATTAAATTTAAAACTTGATCAATATTGATTTAAAGGATTGTAATATTTCAGGTCTTCTTGAGATTTTGTAATATGCCCAAAAAGCAAGTAATTGGCAACAGTCATATACTTCTTAAGATATTTACAGAGTTTTTTCCCGAACTGATATACTCTCCAAATGCCATATATACTCCACTGTACGCTATGACCGCTTCACTTCCAACTTCTGGGAGTGCAATAGCACTATGCTGGTGTTCTTGTTTGAAATTCCTTTGCCAGCTTTTTGGTTTATTTTGTGTTTTGCTCAGCGCTTCGCATCGTCGTCTCCTCATCGTCTAAACCCTCCTACCCAGGGCCCTGGCTATCGGTTTGTGCACGGAAAATAAACTTAAAGACTTGATATGGGGTAAAATAAATAAAAAATCACGATAATTACTAGGATTTTAAAAATATATTTAAAGATTTTCTAAACATTAAAGGGTTTTCCAGTTTCCCTATATTTCATAGCTTTCTTAAAACCTCTTTAAAATAGTGCCTGAAAGTATGCCACAAATAACATTCAAATAAAGCAATTTAAGATCTCAAACTAGTTGATTTGTTATGTTTTTTAAACAATTATTTGTTACAGTGTACCCCATCCTCGTCTTCCGTCTTGGTCAGCATCTTCGCCGTCGCGGTCGTCGTCGTCGTCGTTGTCGTCGGGATGGGGCTGTGGCTGGGGCTCGTTTGTTAAATGTTTGGGTTTTGTTTGAGTTTATTGAGTGAATTCCTGGAAAAACGCAGGAATTTGTCTTTGGTCTTTCTGTTTTGTTCGGTTTTCTGTTCGGTTCTGTTCTGTTCTGCTTTTCCCTCCGCTCTGAGCCAGAGGTCTCCGATGCACTCGGTGCATAAAAATCGCTTTACGGCGTTTTGAGCTCTGGGCAACCGCTTGGCTTCGCTTTGGTTCGGCTCGGTTCGGTTCTGTACGATTCGAATCGGTTTCCCAAGGTGTCTGTACGGGTTTGTCGTGATAAAGGATGGACAGGTGATTATGACTTTTTTAGCGGGACACCCAATTACGTGCGATCGGGCAGGACAGGAAATCGGCAAAGATCAACAGGGCCCAACCCCTTTTTTGGCCCTTTTTTCGCCAATAAACATACGCCTTGTGACTCTGTGATGGGAACCGAGTTGGTTCCCGTGTTCAGCCCGGAGTGAAACATAATACTCTGGGGTGGTGCTACTCCGCTTTAGGGATTATAATTAAGTCGCCTCAAAGTTATTGTTCAATTTTCTAATGTTCAAAATGAATGTGATAAAGGTACATTCGGTTTTAATTGTTTTCTTTTAGGGCTTGACAATGGCCATTTTTAATTAGGGTTTTATTAATAAATATACACATTTTGTAACCTACTTTTTATATTTATTTAAGAAATCAAACTATTTCGGAAAACACATCATTAAGCTGGCACTCTTTTATTATTTTTAGATAACATTTCCAGATGACACAGTCTTTTGGGTCATAAACACCCGGATCTATTACCATTTCGCTGGATTTTATAACACCAGAAAAAAATTTGGCTCCAACGCCCACCGAGGAGAATTCCATTTTCCGAAGACGGCCAGGCGGAAGAGCATGGGGCAGCACATCAATCGGAATCTTCCCTCCTCAGTTCCGGTATGCCCAAAATAGAACATTCCTTCTCCTTCTGGATTTTCACCTTTTCCCCCCCTTTGGATTCGGTGTTCCTAAATCACCAAGAGATCTCTCAGCTAAGGAATGAGTGTGAGTCTTGGGGGGGTGACCAGAGAATCGGCTCCCTCTTCCGGGATTTGGATGGACGACCCCTCCGATGGCTTCCAAAAATAACGGAAATGGTTTGGAATCTTGAGAGAAATTTGCTATTTTCGACCGATGATTGAGTTGTAATGATTGGGCCATAGTTCTAGTTCTTGTTCGTGTTCCTCCACGAACACCATCATCCCCCCCATATGGGATGAATGGAATGCATATGTGCCACAACAGCAGAGGAATCTTGGTCTGTCAGTCAGCCAGAGATGGAAAATGTGGCTGGGAGTTGATCCCTAAGTGCAGGCTTACATTTTATATAGTAGATATTGTTTTTAAAATATTAAAAAATATTTAAATTAAGCTTAAAGACTATTATTTTATTTATATTAAAAATAGCTTTGCTTTTTTACTTCTAAAAAGAAATAATTCAATTATTATCTAAAGAATTTCATTTATACTTTCTTTTTCTGTATATACACTGCCCAAAAATATGCCTCCTACATCT